TAATTTGACAATTTTGCTACCAAAATCAAATTTTTAAATTTTTCATTATCTGTATTTCAAAATGACGATAAATATGTTTTGTCTAGGTATGGGGAGTGTCGTGGGCAGTAACGTAAACGTAAGCAACGGAACGACAAGGAGGATGGAATCGACGACGTTCCTGCCGGAAGCGACGCCGACCCTCAGCGAACGAGAACAACTGAAAATTGAATTTTACAAAACTTACGATGTTATGACCGGAGTCAGAATCGCAGCGACTCTCGGTGGTTTTTTCGGTCTTATGATTCTCCTGCTTGTTTATAAAAGCAGGCAAGCCACTCTTCCTTCTATATTTACTCTGCAATCCTTCTAAATTTCATTGCAATTCAACGTTTCAACTTTGAAAAAATTAACTTTCCGAATTTATCATATTTTGAACTTTAATTAGAATTCCAATTAAAAAAGAAAAATTCATGTTTTACTATAAAATATCCATGAAAGAAACTCTTCCATGTATCATCTAGAAATAGTATAAATAAATGAAAAGGGTAAAAGGAGAGTACATGTGGTGTAGGTGTAAATCGAGCAAGCAGTTGGAAGATCCAAGACTGACCGCAGCAGCGGCCGCAGCGGTAGCTGAAGCAGAAGCTGAGGAAAGAGCTCTCGCAGCCGCCCTCGAAGCCATTACTAGATTACCACCTCGACCAGACAGAGGTCCCAGAAGGTCTCTTTGTGTCGAGGTCAGTATATTTATCAATCCTTTTTCACAGTTCATTGATTATTATTCTACTAATGGATCAAAGAGGGTTGTTCCCTATATCTCGACAATAGGCATAATATACATTTCAACAAAAGTACTTGGACAAAATTTGTAATTTAAAATAAGAAATTTGAAACCAGTCATCACAATAATTTTGTAAATATTGATTGTAGTCAAGTAATCGAAACGAAATAAATGTATTTTGTTCAAGGTGATTCAGTCTCATTCTCCAAGAATCGGGCCGCGTTTCGCATCAGTTGGAGGTGGCTACGAGGCTCTATTAACAGCGCCAACGAAGCAACCAAATTTGGCACCTCCAGACGAACAGAGAAGATGTAGTTCCGTGACTTGTAGCAGTACTGGAAGTAGTTATCTTGAAAGGAGAGGATCTGCGATGCCCGTACCATGTCTGCCGCTTCATCCCGCCTTCTCGACGAAACATCACTCTGCCCACGACGAACCCTGGGACCTTTATTACCCAATTGATATTCAAGTGAGACATTCATCTCGTGAAGTAATTTAAATTTTCTTGCTGAAATGCTAATGTAAAGTGTAAACATAATAGTATATTGCAGTTAACAATGATTTTTTATTCAATAGTTTCAAAGATATTATTAGAAATATCGATTACTAATTAATTTATATTTGGAAATTCATTAATAGGTTATCCAACCAACCCCTGAACTTTCTCCATGTACAAGCGAAGCAGGTCTGTATGCAAACGAAGTGATGATGGCAGGAACCACTGGTAAAAGAGCACCATTGGCTTCCATGGGCAGTGTTGATCCACCTGAACCAGATTCAAGGTTTCTGACAAAATTAGTTTAATCTTTGTGTTTATTTATAAATTAACAATAATATAATTCTTCTATGAATTTATAGCTTTGAACATTCAAGATCGCTAGGTTCCGACTCGGTCTTCCTGAGAACCGACGATCAAGAAGAGTGTATGGACACAGAAGACGAGGTGTCTGGGTTCTCTACCGATTCTGAAACACCTGGTCCCAGTTGTCGAAGATTCCTTCGAGTACCCTTGAAGAAGAAGAAAACAGTTGAGAAATGGGATGGTTGCGCTGGATGTGTTCCTAGACGACGGCCTGGAGGGAAACCGTGTCAAACTTGTCATAGCATCAGTGCAGCTGTTGAAACTTCTGGGTACTCCATTTTAAGATTCCACCTATTTTTAATTGATAAATGATCAAAAGAGACAGATAACTGATCATGGAGAGAACAATTAAAATTTCTAGCGGCTTAAATATTATTTTCCAGTGTATAAAATCCTTTCAAGAGCTTAAAAATTGATGCATCTAACTCTAGTGTAGCTTGTTTATTGTTATCGATCTGTTAACAGATCTCAGGCAGTTTCCACAAGCTCGAGCAGCCAAAGTAGCCTCGGTTCTCCACCGTGTTCACCGGCCATCGAACTGAGACACAGACCTCCACCAGCGCCATTACCGTCGAGTCCACCTGTCTGGTCACAAGAAACATTGTTTTAATCCTTTGACCACTTCTCGGGTAAAGGATGTCACGAATAGCTGGTAATCGCACAAAAGTATCTCTTCTGAGGGAAAGGAACGAAGATTGAATTTTATGATGAAAGAAGATACAACAAACAGAACGTTAAAGGAACAGAATATCTAGACAAGTACTCTGATGAAAGGAAAAAAGAAAGACATCGGTATAAAGGGAACGGAAAATCCTACAGAATGTAAAAGAAGAAGAAGTGAACTTTGAAATGGAGATACGAGAGAATAATTACAAAACTGTAATTAGATATAAAAGCTAATAGGAGAAATATAAATTTAATGAAGTAGGCGAAGAGAAATTTATGAGAAATTAGGTCAAATTTTTGTTTCGCTTAAAGGAGAATAAACGCAATAACATCGAGCTGAAAATAATAGCATCGTGTGCCGAGTTTCTGAAGGAGAAAGAATGATAATTAACCAACGAGTGGAATAAAAAAAGGAAATGCCAAAACATTTGTATAGTAGCTTTTAAGCAACCAAAGAGAGAAACAGAAACTAACAGACTAATTAATCGTTAAACGAACTGTTGTAAAAAAAAATGATAATGAAAATGGTAACGTACCATAGATAATATACTGTAAATAATATGATAAAAAGAAAGAACTCGAATCCTTTTTTTCGTATTCGAAAAAGAGTGATAAACGCGCCACGTTTATATCGCGTTAGAGAAATTTAAAAAAAAAAAAATCAAAACTTTTAAAAAGATGTTGATCTAGCTGTGCGTGTATAAAAAAAATAACAAAAAAAAAACAAAGAAATGAAAAATAATTCTCGTTATTCGTTTTTTTGTTTTCAATATTGCATATGTATGTGTATATGTATACATATATGTGCGTATAATACGCGCGATTAAAGCTAAAAACTAGATTAATCAAGTTATTAATCAGGAAACTTGAAAGAACAAAAACCTATGAAATTTCCTTAATTTATTATTTTCCAATTTAAACAAATGATTTTAGACCAGAATAATTTTAATAAAAGAGTATAAAGTTAATGACGTTTTAAAAATAAATCTTCCATTAAAATGAGAGGCCCCGAATTAATTTCCACATCTAATAGGATATTTTTCTTTATTTTACAGATTTTTAAAATATTCAAAAGTGTCCCATACTGTTCAATGTTTCTTTCTGATTGTATTAATTCTAGTTAATTGATTGATTAATGACGCTTTGATGACTGCCAATGGAAAAGCAGAAATCCTCTACGTATGTGAATTGTGGTACATGTGTGTTGCGCGCGTTTCGTGTGTGTATATGAGCGTACCTTTACGCACACGTGTATAGAAAACTAGAAAATCAAAGCCGTATATTAATAGTGTTGTCAATTTTTCCAATAATCGGGACACGTTTATAATCTTTGCTTTCTTAATTGTAAACATTTTGTTTAAAATTTTTCAACTTTCTACTTGCTGCTGGGTATCTTATAAATCTGATAAAATATTTACGCTAGTTGGAATATATCTGTTTTCTTTTTTCATTATTCTGTTATTTTTAATTTTTAATACCGATCGCTATATTAGTCTCCAAGTACCTATATCAATGCTTAATTTGATTCTTGAATCTTTTAATTGAAACGAAATTTTTATAAATGTGAACCCGATTAAACGTTTAATGATCAGATTACAACGCGCAACTTCTGTCGGTGCCTTTCCGCCGGATCTTCTTCCATCATCGTTTTAGATAGTATCATCGCATCAAAGAAAATCATCAACAAATCAACTACTATGTCTGTATAGCGACAGAAAGTGGACAAAATAATGGAAACGCTAGGAAATGTTAAGAATGCTTTCCTTTTTAATATCTTCCTTTATTAGCACAAGCAACGAATCAGTTTAATCAGTTTTCAGATCTTTAGAGAATATCTTTAAAGATCTTTAAAGAATAATATTTTGAAACTTTATTAAAAATTATTTAGAGTTTGTACAAATTTATTCCAAAAACAATTTAAAACCATTTAGAATAGAATATAACGAAGAACATGCGGAATTTATTGTTAAACAAATGTTTCCATTATTTTGTCTAATTACTGTATATTAATGACAATCATAATCAAAAGTTGTGATTATCTTTGTCACCGTAATTATAACGCAAATGGAAAAAGGAAACGATAAGGTGAATAAAGCTATACCCGAAGCAATAGAAATTGTAAATTAGAAAGAAAAAAAAAAAACGAACGAAGCGTAAGAAAGAAAACCATTCTCAAAATGATAAGATAAGAGAAAGGTGATTATGATTATAATTATGATGATGGTCATGATCGCGAAAAAAAAGATAAGCTCCATCATTCTTTCGTAATGTTTTGAACAGATCTTTCCTGATGTACGAACAATAAAACTTTCACTATTTCCTACTATCATTCTATTTCATCATGCCTTCCTCTTTCAAAAATTTTCCTTTTTTTTTTTTAAACACTGTCTCTATTTTTTCAAATATTAAATAAAATATACGTGTTGAACATACAATTGTTGAAAAACAGTATCCTCCATTTCTAATTGACATTTTCGCTACTGCATAATTCAATGTCAGCCGTTAAAGGTCACGCGATATCGCGTGCTTTGTAAATAATGTTAAATAGCGTGCTATATTTTTAATTTCTTTTTATCATTGATTAAGCATACATTCAATAGTCTAAACATCTGATTAATTGAACGTTTATCATAATGCGCGAAATTGTGGGCAATTCTTATCAGCCGCGATAACCCGTACTACTGATAGCGCGGTAAGTTTTGTTCAAATTAAAGGCCGAATCGAATCAGTCTCTCGAAAACCTTGATGACAGGCATATCGGAGTCAATGACACGTGAAAGTACAAATAGAAAAAATTCCGAATATTCCATTCACGTTTCGATTAGATATTTAATAAAAAGAATGTAGTGCGCTCTCGAACGACTCGATTTAATTTATTTAACCAGTTAACAGTGATTGAACAGTGTGATCGAAAGTGAATTTTAATATTAAAAAGATTAGCTGATTTTGAGATTAGATAAAAATTTATTATGGACGTCGCGAGATTTTTAACGAACTTTGCAAATAGAAGGAAACATAGTATTTTGAGGAAATGGGGTAAGAATCTTTTTTTCATTAGTCCCATCATCAATGTTTTCTTATCTTTAATATTCAATAATAATAATAATAATAGGTTTGAAATTTTTTAGGTAATTCTTTTCATTAATATTACATTTAATTCCAATTTCCAAGAAATATAAATTAAATTAATAATAATTTTTTATGCAATCTAGCCAAGATATTTGTCGAAACTGAGGGTGGAATATCTTTAGCTAATGGAATGCCAAATGCAGAGATGTTTCCTTTCGAGGAAATTGCTGTGACGTATAAAAATGGTACAAAAATCAAATTAATAGGCGATGAATTATCTTGGTCCCTGCAATATGGTCCTTCTCAAGGGTAACATTCAAAAAAGAAACAAATTTTCATTAAAGTTATCAAGATTCACTAAATCTTTGTTTTTTTATTTATTTTATTAAGATACTTACCACTATTGAAACAAATGCGAAAATTTCAAGAATATTGGCACAAACCAGAATACAATGACTGGGACATACTTTTCACACCTGGATCAATGGATGGATGTACTAAAGTTTTCGAAATGACTGTAGAGGAGGAAGATCCTGTGATGGTTCAAGTGCCAACTTACAATGGAATTCTGAATGCAGTAACTCTTCGTATTTAAATTCCTTTTGACTCAATCTTTGTAGTATTTATTTATTTATTTATTTATTTATTTCAACTAATTATGTAATTAAATAAACATGATATTACGAATTAAATCTCCTACCCCATTGAATTTCGTGCTGCCCCAGGAGAACAGTCGCCGATGCTTTCCGCTACATGGCGCTGGTTAAATTTCGAGTGTGCCCGCGAAATTAAAAATGAAACATGGACTTTGAACAATCATTGAGTTTACCTGAAAATACTATTAAACTTCTAAAATTATCTAATATTCTTTTTTTTTCTTTCAGCTTGCACCATTTATGATTGAATTTCTGGGAATACCACAGGATAAGGATGGAATAATTCCCGAGCAGATAACGAAAATTTGCGAGGAAAGATCCCGTAGTGGGAAAAAATTACCAAAAGTGAATCATAGTATTGCATGAAGATTGTATTTCTTATTTTTTTAATAATTACAACTGTAATACATAGTCATTATTTTCGTAGATTCTATATGTAAATCCAACAGGCGCAAATCCAACCGGAACAATTCTTTCAGAATCTCGTAGAAGGAAGGTCTACGAATTAGCTCAGAAATACGACTTTTTAATTATCGAGGATGATCCTTACTGTTTCCTTCATTTCCTTGACAAACGACCCACAACGTTCCTGGAATTGGATACCGTTGGACGTGTAATACGTTTAGATTCCTTTAGCAAAATTCTAAGCGCTGGTATGCGGTTAGGTGTTGTCACAGCGCATAAAGAATTCATTCAAAAATTAACTGTACACATGGAAACGACGAGCCTTCATGCCTCGTCCCTATCGCAAGTAATTAAATAACTCCATTTTATATAAATAATTTTCTATATTCTTTTCTATTTTATTTATCGTTTCATTAATTATTTACAGATGTTGTTATATCAATTATTAAACTCATGGGGTTTGCAAAAGTTACAACAACATTTCGAAGATGTTCAAAAATTCTATCGTGAAAGACGCGATGTTATGTTGAGTTTGATCGAGAAACATCTTACAGGTATTTCCTTTTACATGCGGAATAATATTATGTAAAACAAGTTGTGATTAATTTTCTAATTGCATAGGATTGGCGGAGTGGAACGTTCCGAATGGTGGAATGTTTGTTTGGATAAAGGTGAATGAAATTGAAAATGTATTAGAACTGGTAACCGAGAAATGTATTTCCAAAGGGATATTTGTTCTCCCTGGTCACGCATTCAATTATGATTTCTCGGATCCGGATCAACATATCAGACTTTGTTACAGTTACTCAACTCCGGATCAAATTGATAAGGTGATTTTTTTTTTTCTTTTAGCTTCTATGTAATTTTCCATTAATTTTTTATTTAATATTTAATTCAATACAACGTTTTTTTACTTAAGTTGAACTTATTTAAAGATTTTGTATTTTTATTTATAAGAAAGGTTCTTTTATTTTCAGGCGCTCTCAGTTTTAGCACAATTAATACGCGAAGAAATGGCACAACAAAAATTAAATCGAAATTATTAAATTAAATAAGAAGTTTGTTTGAATAAAACTTTAGTACCTTTTATTTCCGAAAGAGTATATGCAAAATAATTAAAAATGTTAAGTAATATAGGCAAAATTAAAAATACGTAAGAATATAATAAAGATATTTTATTTTAAGAAACTATTATGAATGTTTTTCTACAATAAAGATAATACAATAAAACTAAATCTTTCGTATACATATATATAAAGCGCAAAGACGTCCGTCTTTGTCACTTTTCATGTTGAGAACTACTAGGGTTCGAGATACGCTTTTATACGTCGTTAGAAAGGTCTCGTTGGGGTGTCAGAGACCCCGATACATCGGTAACGCTCTCTGCTACCCCCTGTGGCTCGGGGGAAGTAGAATACGGCCACGGTATCCCCTGCCTGTCGTAAGAGGCGACTAAAAGGGGGATGTAAAGGAGATTCCACGAAAACTGTATTGCGAATAAGAGCGAGACACAAAAGTATAGGAAGGCAAAACAGGCTAAAGATAAGACGGATAGAAAGTCCCTAAAGTACGCCACCCTCGCGGGAAATCAAATCATGTCATATCGACATAATAGCATCCGGGGTGTCAGGGACCCCGATGCATCGGTGACGCTCTCTGCATACCGACATAATGGCACTCGGGGTGCCAGGGACCCCGTTGAACCGGTGGCGCTCTTTGCATACCGACCAGAATCACCTGAAACGGTTTCCACCGATTCTGTATAGATGGCACTAAGGTCGAGTTTTAAAAATCATTTATGGCGGTCTTTTTAAAATACAAGTTTGTCAAACATTTATTTTGATAGTTCTTCGGTCTCCTTTTAAAATAAAACTTTTTTCAATTTTCATTATATGTTTATATGGGAAGTATATACATCCTGTTTACAGTAACAGGTTACTGTCATTTATTATACATTTGTGATACACTTACAATGTATAATAAAGACTCTTATAAAAATAATGTACAAATAAAAATTATTCAAGCTTTCATAAATATTTTACAAACAAATAATTAAAAGATAATGTATACAACTATTTAAAAACCTATACAGCCGATCAATCAAAGAGGTTAGGTTTCTTTCGTTTACCTGAATCAGCTGTGAAGCATCCCGAAACAAATATTTTATAATAATTTGCGTAAAATTATTACGCCTCTAGGTGCATTTTCATTAATATCGTAATTAATTTATAGAGTCAATATTAATTTGATATAAGTTTTAAGAAGAGTAGTGATAATGGAAAGCTCGAGCGAGGTTCAAGAAACCGAAAATGACAAAGTGGAACCAAACGTGGTATTGGAAACTGAGCAAGTTGGGGAAAGTGAAATTGAAAAATTAAAAGGGGATTCTGTAGGAGATACTCTTTACAGTGGCAAATGGATAATCAATATTTTGTTAGCAATATCAAAGGTAACTTATCAAGGTCTCAAAAGTAGCGAAACTTATAAATTAACATAAATGAAATATTTTTAAGGTTCACGAAGACAGCTGGAATACAAAATTGGAAAATGACTTGTGCACTTTATGGGATATGAGCACAGAGAGGGACATTGTTCAGTTTCTTGTGGATAATGACTTTTTCAAAGTAGCTGAGTTTACTTTAAATTCTTCAGAAGAGCCAAGGCTAACAGTATAACTGTTTCATTGTCTTAATCTATATTTTATTTATTCAATAAAAATTTCAGAATATGTTTTTTAAGTTCCATATCTAAGATATGAGAATTCCTCGTTTTTAAATTAATTTTTATTCTTTTGTAGGAAATAATTTTGGGAATACTTGGGAATATGGCATGTGAACCAATAATCCTTGAATTATTAGGAGCACACGAAGAGCTTCTTGAAACAATTCTTCGTCATCTTTCCTCTGAAGACAGTGCCACATTAGTACAAATCCTTCGATTGTTGCGTTCTGCACTTTGGAACATTCAAAATAATCCTGAATCAAAGTGGAGAGTTAATTTAAAAAATTCAACTTATTTAAGAGAAGTAGTTCCTTTCATTTTGAAAAGTTCCACAAATGGTAACTATTCGTTTTTAATATCTTCCTGAACTTAATTTGTTAGTGACAATTAATTATATTATTGCAGAGGAACTTTTAATTGCAACAACTAGCTTTCTGCGTTCCTCGGCGGAAATTGATCTTCCATCCGGAAAAACATTATTAGATGAATTGTTTGACTCATCTAGCTTTTTGCCAGGTATTCAATTTTTATTTCTTTTTAAAGGACTTTTAGTTAAAAGTAGAACTACTGACGTTCCATAAGCACTACTTACACATTAAAAATACAGTAGAAAAATGAATAAACTAACATATAGTTTAAGTTATAAAACGTAAACTAACATATAGAATTATTCTTTATCACGACAAAAATCAACATAAATTTCAATAAAAGCGCCCTGATAATTTCTGTAATTTAAAATCAAAAATCTAAGATTCGTCATTTTGACGGGTTAGATGGTTCTAGTGTTAAGAAATCTGTGATAATATTATTCGAATAAAAAATAAATATGTACAGGAATGTTAGAATCTTTTGAAGAAGTTCTTCCTCAAGATGAAGGCCACTATTCAGCTTCAACTTTAAAATACCTTGAAGACTGGTTAGAATTGTTCTTCAATCTCAGGAGAGGGTATCAAATTCATCAAGTAATTTTACAAGAAGACAATCTCGCGAGGATAGTAGAGATTCTGCGAGGGATTTTAACAAATTTCATTGATCCATGGAATCTTTTTCCTTTGGACGAAACTAAAGCTTCTTGTGTTCATAGATGTGCAGAAATGATCCTTGATTTTCGATGGAAAGGATTTTTAAAGGCAGATTCTACGATTGACATAGATAATATGGTCTTAAAAATTATATTCAGTATCAATACAGGTAAGAAATATGAATGGCATAAATATCAATTCAAATTTTCCCGCATAAACGTTTACACGCACGTGATAGGGCTAGACCCCTACATGTATGAGGATCCTTCTTCCATCTATGCCATTCTCCTCGGGTTGCCTATGGGAAAGGGTGAGAACCTGGGATATTACCATTTTTCAGATTTCTATATAGGCCACTTTTCCTACATCGACATTTTCCCTTGAGATGCCGACTATGCTCGGTGTTGTATAATTCTTTGAATTTTTTCAGCAATAAAAGAAGAAGAGGACTCGGAAGAAATAATGGAAGAATTATTAAAATATCTTGAAGGATATTGGATAGAAATATCAAAGATTTCCACAACCGATGAAATTATAAAAATCTTGAAAACAAATGAGAAAGCTGTTATTGATCATGTAACAAATTTATTAAAATCAAAAATTCCCACGGAAAAAATGAATGGCGTATTAGCTGGTTTATCAGATGAATAGAAAATAAAAGGAGAGTTGTAAAATCAATCAAAGAAATAAATTTTTCGCATGGCCTGTGATTAAAAAAAAGAGCAACTCGAAATTTTTCATAAATATTTTAAGCACTTTTTCTTAATATTATGTAAGTACAAATCTTATAGTATTTTTTTACAGATTATGGCTACATTTTATACAAGTTTTATATTTATTTTGTATATTCTTTTTTAATTAAAAAGATCCCTTATAGGTTCATAAATAAAAATACGCATTGTTCTACAATTTTATTGCAATAAAAATTTGAGTATTTCAAGTAGTACATTAACAATATACAGTTTATAGGTACAAATGGAAGAACAATTCTCCCTTTTTCTATTTCTTCTCTCGCGTTTTAGTATTTCTATTCTTAATTATTAGCTTTTCGCACATAGTCTTTATTTTATTGTGCTTATAATTTACACATATCTTCATCTGGTGTACACACTTCTACTATGTCTGCTTTTCTTTCCTTATATGCTTATTTGATGATATCGCCTTTCTTTTTTCACACGTTCACTTTGTTTATACGTTAATTTCCTCTTTTGTTAGTTTTCTTTATTTTTAATCCCATTCTCCAATATACATTGCTCTAGGTGTAGGAGGAGGAATTACACCTCTGGTTGGTACGGGAAATCTTCCATATATATGATTATATGGTGATTCGTTTCTGCTATCTGAATCTGTAAGAAATAAAAATTCATTCTTACCATGGACATAACTAGGTAGGGACCAAGGTGATCCTCTCATCATTAAAAAATTTTTAAATACTAAAATTCTAAAATTGGCTTAAATCTTTACAAAAACGTTCCAGTACCAAGTCCACTTTCGAAACTGCGCGCATGATACATAATTGGAGGACGATTCCCAGGTAAATGGCCATAAATTTGAGAGGATTGGCTGCTCGCGTATCCGCTAGCAGCATATCCAGGTGCTTGAGGAGGTCTAGCGTATCCTCTTGTCGAGACTTTACTATTTTTCGCCATTTTTACAAAGTTAGGAACACGAGCTCGTAATCCGCAATAATACGGATCGTCTATAAAATAAGATACTTATTACACAAGAATTAAAAGAAAAATATTTTTTCTTTCGTTAATTACCGTATTTCTTCTTGTCATCGTTCCTACTTCTTTTATCTTCATTCGTTATTACGGGTTTCCTGGCATAATCGTCCTCTATATCATCGTAATCAGGCTAAAATTAAATAATATTCATATTATTATACTTTCATTAATTTCATATAATTTATTAGAGAAGGTATAATTACTTTAGGTATATCATGACTATAGAGATTCTCTCTTGGTGGCAGTTTTGGTGGTCTTTCGGCTCTTCTTGGTCTACAGCTGCTCGACTGAGCATAAATCTGTTCTCTAGCTTCTCGATCGTGAGGAAATGGTTCAGATACTCCAATGGAGGATGAGACCCCAGCTACGCTGTAGGGATCTTCGTCAGGAATCGGTATCCTGGGACGGTTTTTAATATCCACCGGCCTTTGTAACGCTAAAACTAGTTCATAAAGTTTATAAATCATAGAAATCATGAATTATGAATACTAGTTTATGTCTTATAGATAAATGTGTTGTTGGAAAATATTAAATATAGTCTCTGACTATTAAATTAGGACTGTTCAGTATTTTCATTGTTTTTCATTCTTTTAGCGAAATTAAAAAGTGTACATGATACATAGTATCACAGTATGTGTATTGACAAAGATTATAGATGTACTTAGAATTATTTTTAAGTACCTGGTGGTAACTTAGACTTCAACATGTCCAAACCAACAACATTTACAATGAGAACCCAAACAGGACACTGTAGAAGATCTGGTTCAGTTCTGACAAATACAATCGCACTCAAACACTGCATTTCCAATCTTCTTCTGTCAGGGTATGCTCTTCTTGTTTCTCTTGAAAGATTTGTTTGAAATTTATTCATATCAAATACCTGGAACAAAGAATGAAAACAATGAGAAGATTGCAATAACAATAATAGTTAAATAAACAATGATGAAAGAGAATTAGTTAGAAAAAGAAGAATAAAACTTAAATTGAAGTAAGTCACGAAACACTTACTTTCCCCGGTTTCTCGTGTTCTAATGCTCCTTGAGAATTTCGTGCAATTTCTGCTCCAATTGCGTTGTCTTCCTGACTGGTCGATTTAATGTAAACGTTATTTTTACACAACCTCTTTATTAAGATATTCCCTTGCTCATCCATTTTGATCTTTACACCTTGATTTATGTGCTTTTTGGCCTCCTCCGTTTTTGTATCTCTCATTGGATTTTCAAAACCACATAATCCTATCCTATATATCATAAATAAAATAATAATTAATTCTCTATCCTCTGATTGTTATTTAAATTATTTTCTTTAAATAACTTGTCGATAAACTGAAACGTTGAACCTTTGTTAGAAAGTGATATCTTCAAAATAAGATTTCAAACGAATTTCCATTATGTAATTTAAAATTCTATTTTTGAATTTTATAAATAGCTCTGATTCAATATTTAAACTTTAACTAATCAAATGTAATTTAATTTAAAGAATTATTAATCGTTGAATAGCGTAGACCATTAGGGGGGTAATAATTTAAAATTAATTATTTTCATATCGATGAGAATTTTCCCATATAGTTTTACCTAAAGCCATCGAAACCATCGTTGGATCCATTAATCGTGAGAACAGGTGCCCTTGCGTATGCTTTTGCTACCCTTCGATTCCTTTCGAAGACGATTACCTTGGCCCAAATTTCGTCGTCTATTTGGTTCCATTTGTCCAGTACCTCTTGTATATGATCCTATAATAAACACAAAAAATCATTCTACATCCTTGTAAATATTTTTATATCACACGAATGTTATTCATTACATGATTGAGATAAGATTTTTTTTTTTTACTGACGAGTAGAAATCATTTCTGGTGAGGGAAGGAAAGGGGACAATTTAAGGGGGCCCGCTTACTCGGGTCTCTACAGTAGATTGTAGTATCACTGTTATTAAATTTAACGACCTTCGATCGTAATGCGTTAAAATTATTTTACACATACCTTGTAAAGTTTATCGAGGTTGTACCATACATCCTCTTCATCTTGATCCTCGTATTGAGATTCAACCAGATTGTCCCTCGATCGAGACAGGATCTTCCGTCTCGATACCATGGTTCACCGAAAAACACTACTGAATCTAAATTAAATAAACATAAGTAAATTTTTATTAAACAATTTTGATGAAAAGTATTTCTATACCAGTCAATTAAAACGTTGATTATTTAATTTTTGGTATAAATAGAATTTTTATTTAAAGAATGGGAGCCAAATTTTCTAGATATATTATTACAGAAATATCAAGTGTTTATTATATTATCGTATATAACATTTTGACCCAAACATTTATTGCTGAAAAGGATAGATTTTTCGGTGGGATGAGGAGCAAGATCTTTATTTTAAACATATTTATTTTTATGTAAATCTGTTTTCGTTGAAAGCAACTGAATATGAATTTTCATTTGCAGTCAAAAGTTATCGTCATTACGTAACTATTACTATCAAGTAATAATTCAATTTTTAAGGTAATAGCCGGTATGTACTTTCACCGTGCTAAGTTTTTGCAATACATATAACGGTGACCGATGACCACGTAATCCTAGGTCCGATTTGAAATTAAACGCAATCGTAAATGAAATTTAACTTTGACAAATGTAAATAGATATTTTTTTTTATAAAAGGAAAAATTACTGAAAAAATTAAAGCTGAATATTTCATCTTCTGGTAACTTTTTATTCATCAAAAGTTCGTCGAAACAGAACTTAACCGCGATTATAATTAGCAGACAGAGTCGAAGTCTTTCACCTTCTAGGAACAGTACGCGAGAAACGGGAAAAGGTGGCCGAAGACGGCGGGGTGGAGGGGGGGGTCTTAAAAATTTTCTAAACATACTGCAACTGGTGAAGGGGGCAGTTGATACGGGTCTGGCAACACTCAGCCTTCGCATTCTTCGGAGAGAAGTGAAAGCCAAAGAGTTTCAGGGAAATTCTATGCGGAATCGAAACCCTTTTTTTCCATGACGTTTGCTTTTGATACACTCATCAAATTTGTCTCATTTTACAATCACTATAGAAACATAATTTGATCAAAATCTAATAGATATTAAACACTGTAAGATAATAAACAAGGTCAATTTAAAGAAAGTTACTATAATTTGTAATTCTTAAATATCATAAAATTTGATAAATAACTACAAAATAAGTATTGAATAAAAATTTCAGTTATAAACGTTTACACAGTACTGTACAATACTAGGTAAGCTATTTTCGCGCAGAACATTCCTACGCGCGCTAATAGTGGGGCACAGGATATATGGAACATGACAAATATATTTGGTAAAAGTATTTATAAATTCCCATTGCGTTGCATGCGAGTATATACGGTTAAGTAGCCGTATATACCGACAAACGAAGCAACCGCACCATCTTAGAACGTTGCGCGTCGAGTTCGAGAGAGGTTTTCAGCATTTTTAGAATGTATCGGTTGCCAGTGTCGGTTTTTCCGCGCTGCTTCGAGCAACGAATGCCCGTGCTGTAAAGGCATGCGTGAATCGAATAAAAATGCGTGTTCCCTTAAGTTCGTACATGTCTCACGAGTCGAGTACTACTCGGTCGCATATACACTTCTGCTCAAAAGTCATAGGCTAACATAATCTATTCAAATTTTATAAAGACATAAAGCAAAATAATTCGAATTGTTAAAATATATAGAAAATGTCCTTTTCTCATACGTAAATAAAAAATTAATAATTAGTAAAATATTTCGTATAAAAATTTGAAATATCTCACAAACTATTGATTTTTCTGATATTGTATCTTCATGTTTTTTAAGCAAAATTTTCTGAAGAATTAATTTTTTAAAGGACTATAATTACCGAGACACCTTGTATATTTCTCTGGCGACATCGCTTATTAACGCGTTGAAATCTCCCTCCTCGAACAACATCCACCATATAAAACGTCCACCCACATAAATATTACACAGATATATTGCAAATATTTTAATATTACATCTTCGTGCTTTGTACGTTATTAAGAAAATAATCTCCAATTATTTAATTAAACAAAAATCTTTCAGCTTATTAAATAAACTTCTTTAGTAGATATATCTTTTTATATGTTAAATTATTCTTTGTTTATATTGTAATTCAATTTAAATATTAAATAATAAATTTTAATGTTGCTCTGTTACGTTTATTTAAATAATATTTTAATTGTTAAAGTCATTTAATTAGTAGTATTATTATTATTATTAGTACTACTATTACATATTATGAAAATAACACTTTGATATCCGCGTATCAAAGGTATAACTTTCACTTTTGTTAATGGCTGAATGCTCTAAAACCTCCGAGCAAAAAATAATACTATTCGGTTGAACGCTTGAAATATAATATATTTTCCTAGAAATTCGTATGTCATTTCGCTGTTCGACTATAACTTTTCGAATATGTGTTAGTTTTAAACATCTACAAATTTATCGGAAATTATTGCAACTTTAAAAAGGAAATGTGCGACTTTCGTGAACTTCGTTATACTGAAAATATTATTTTATCTTAATAAAATAGAAAAAAAAGGATTATTTCAAATAATTTTTGGGAACGATATATGTAAAACATTCACTGATATCAATCAATTATGTAGTTCCATATGTTTACAACTTCGTCTAGTTGACAAATATTTTTAAAAATCTTTTTTTTAAGTTTACATTATTATAACTTTAATATGTTGAAATTATGGCAGGGGTTATTTGTAATTAAAAGTTCAAAGATCATAGGTAAAGGTTTCAAGCATACATTTAATTTTTAATTAACTTTAAAAATATGAAATGCCATTTGTGTGACTAGCGTTAAAATCACCAAGGCGATGACTGATAAAGACGAGTGGCAATATTAAAAACTACTTGTTACAAGATGAAAAGTTTCTTTTAAATTTTCATTAGAAATATATCTTTTCGTTTGATTAAGCACCATACCTTTCTTTGACAACGAAACTTCTCCAAATGCCTTTCAATATGGTTCGCAAACGTCAAAGGCACTCGCGTCGTCGCCGTTACCCATAATTCACTTCCCAAAATCGTCAAATTCACGCGCGCAGTCTATCAAATTCACTTTAATAAAATTAACAAAATAGACGGACAGTTTCTAGCGCAAATTGCAATTCTTTCACTAAGTATAAAATTAAAGAGATATTTCAGAGTTTTTTAATATGGCGCAGCTATGAAAGAGCCTTGCTCACTGAACAGTGATAACCTAACCGCCATCTTGGTGAACGCATGCGCTGTCCTCAAAAGAAGTCGAGGACGAAGGCCACGCATGCGCGGTATCGGGCCCCTTTCAGACCCCTCGCTGCACACACGCGTTTGACGTCAGAATTGGGACAGTAGAATCAATGGCTTTGAGGAATATTGTCTTTTTATTCATAGTCTTCCATTTTAATCAAATATAAAGTATTGAAATATGTATTTAAAATACTGAAAAAAGAAAATAGTTCATTTAATTTCATTATTCACTAAAACTGCAATAGTAATGTATTCTCTTGACATAAATATTATTTTGTACTGAATTAAGTTTACTAGGTTCATTTTAAAAGTAGTTAGCCAGAATGTAATAAAAACAACTGTTATTTAAATTCTTATTTTATTAAGAAATGTGAGGAAATAATTAAGCAACAAGAGCACTGGCAGTAGAACTCTCATATTTCCAGTTAGCTGGAAGTGTTCCTTTTGACTTATAATATCGAGCAAGTCTGTGAATTCTAGACTCCACAAGAATCAATCTGAATTTGCTGTCTTTATCCTTTCTGTTCCTTTCCAAATGTTTCCTGATAGCCACTGCTTTTTTAATCAAATAGTAAAGATCTTCTGGTAAATCTGGAGCAAGACCCATGCTTTTAACAATCCTGAGGATTTTATTTCCAGTACGAAAACGCACCTGGGCCACTCCATGAGAATCTCGCAAAATTACACCTATAAATTGTTATTGGATTAGAAAAATTGCATAACACTACAAATATGATATAAATAAAAGCAAGATACATAAAAAAAGATTTACCAATTTGCGACGGTGTATGGCCCTTTTTAGCTAGCTTATAAATTAATTCTTTGCAGTCCTCTGGTGTCAATTTTAGCCATGTTGGAACGCTGCGTCTATATGGTAACGCAGACTGCGATATACCTTTACTGTAACAAAATAAATTTTCATCATTAAAACCTATTTTCATTCCAGAATTTGTATAATTACTATATAAATAATTATAATCGTCTATTAGATAAATATTATTTTAAAAGTAAACAAACAGTGCTAAATAATACGATGAAAACATTGAGGTTATGTAGGGTGCGTAGTATAAAGTACATAAAACATATCAAAAAACAAACATTTTCTTACTTCTGTACCTCAATTATTAAAAATCTAATTGAAATATTTCAGAATTTACATAAAGCAGTTTAACAGATTTATTTATTTATCGACAATTTCCATAAATAACACGTGGCTTGTGATGGAACATTCTTTTTCCAAGTTTCGCGAAAAATATATACAAATTTCTATTACAACAGTAGAAAGAATGAAAAAATGCGAAGAGGAAAAATCTTTCGAGAGATTTATAATAATAAATTGTTTTATTATTTAATTAACATTACCCAGGTGCGTGCATACGACCCATGTTTCCGGATTTTTTTTCCACAAAAGACAGCAGCGCTCTTTAGATTCGGCCGGCAGATCGTAAAAGCAGAGATCAAGAAATATCTTCTGATTCCAATATTTGAAGATTTTGAAAATTTATAAAATCTTACAAAATCCTGACGAATCCTTAAGTTATATAAAATTGAATAAATGTTATTACAAACGTAAATCCAAAAATCAATATAACACATTTTTTATCAAATAGTTAATTAACATTGACACACGAAAATCTTACCTTTGTAAGAACACACGAATTCTTACCTTTGTTTATATTTTAATTAAAAAGCAATTATTAATAAACAGGGGTGAATTAAACTATCTATGCAAAATGCTCTAACTTGTTCAAATATCTGCCATCTGCAGGAAGAAGTTTGAAGAAAAAAATCCACAACTTCCGTTTATGAATACTTCCGGTTGATACCACGATACCTGTATGTCATCTCCATATTTATACCCTTTATGGGTAAATATTCTCAAAAACAGCTGTTCCGTAGAGATGTTTACTTCATCTTCTCAATGTATTAAACGTTTCACTTCTGTCAACTATTAAGATAATAAACGACAGTAATGTAGTGCTCAAAATGATAATAGTCGTGTAATATATATATATATATATATATATAAAAGTATATATAAACTGATTAGTACATGCGTAAGCTTGGTTACCTGTAGAATTAGTAGTAATAATCATGGCTCAATGTAAATTAACCCCCCGTGAATTTATAAGTAACGCATTTTCACCCCAAATTGCTGCGGTGTGTTCACCCGCAGCGGATGCTGTATGTCAGAAAAATAATTTATCATTCGTTGAACTTTTGCAACCGTTTTGCAAATTAAATACTGAAGGTAAGAATCTCATATACAATGTATAATAATGTAATATACAATAAATATACGTACGCAATACAATCAGTTTTTATTTCTCGTTTTCATAGGTCATTTTAAAGATCCGCAAGGAAATACAATAAGCGTTAGGAATCTCCGTCTTTTTATACAAGATGTTAACGCGCACCCTCCTGAACCAAGTATTGCTAGAAAAATGTTGAACGAAGCGGTTAGTTCAACCACATGCGAACACACGACTACTGTTCGAATTGGAACAACAGATCTTGATATTCCTGTCTCAGTTCCATGGTTCGAAGCATGGAGAGAAATGTTTTTGAGTGTACAATTTCCATCGGATCATGAATTTACTAAACACTTTCTTGCTTGTATGATAGTTGTTTCTACAGCAGAAGATAATCCTCTGGAAAAAATACAAAATATGGGTGCACAGTTACATCAAAGTATACCTGGAAAATTACCAAAATGGTTTAACAATAATACGCTTAGATATTATATCTTGGTACATGATACTTTACAGGATGATAGGAATAAGTATTTATTTTCATCTCCTTCATTTTCTACGTAATTAATTCTGCATGTTTAAATTAATTAATTGTAATTTTTGTAGAGCTGAAGTAGTGTATGCAGAAATGAAAAACATTTATGGTGCTAATAATTGTTTTCTACTACAAATGAATTCGAGACCACCAGGTCAAATTGACGACAATACTCAATTACCAGATCCTTGGAGTCAGTTTTTAATAAAACACTCAGAAATATCGGGAAGTAGCGAACAGAATAGTTCTCCTCGAACCCCTGCAGACACTAGCGGTGTTTCTTCAATGCCAAATGAAGTAACCACAGATACCGACAAGTATGTTTTAATAATATTTCTTAAAATTGTGTAAAATACATTCTAAAGTATATTTTATATTTTAGAAGCCAGGCTGGAACCCCGATAGCTCCACAGAATTCTGTATTGGTTTCTCCAGATGCAAATGATACCATTAGTTTTTCTTCTGAGGTATCTGACTCGGCGACTACGCACTTGGAAGTTGGACAAGAAGCTGTGTCTGTAACGATGCATCCTTTAAGTCCAACAGTTGACAAGTCGCAAAGTTCTCTTGTATATATGAAAGGACAAACAGTTAGTAATACGCCGATAAATGTAAATGTTTGGGCAGACTCTCCTAGTTACTTAATAACGCAGCACGGTGTTAGATTATCCACCCAAGATCTTGAAAGACTAAGAGCACTAATAACTGAATTTTGTTTGAAAAGTTTGTTACCTTACGTGGAAAAGCAGATTGGTTTATTGAACGATGTTATTTCAAATAAGAAAGGTGTTAGTAGATCTCTTTTTAGTGCAACGAGACGATGGTTTGGAACGAATAAACCTGGAATACCAGGACCTACTCCATCGAATGCTGTAATGTATGTGTAATAATATTTACGTACCTTTCTACCGTGTAATAACAACTTAAAAAAACAAAGTTATACATAGCATATATAAATATATAAAGTTCCAGCTTCTTTGGATTTCAGTTATACAACAGAATCTCCAGAATTACAGTTGCGTCGCTTAGGTGACTTGTGTTTCATGTTTGGTCACTATTCGCTTGCTTACCAAGCGTACCACAGTGCAAAGAGAGACTTTGCAGCAGATCAAGCTTGGCTTTATTATGCAGGTGCTCTTGAAATGGCTGCTTTGAGTGCGTTTATGCAAGGTGAAACAAATAGAAAAACTATTGAATATATGGACGATGCAATACTAACTTATTCAAACAGTTGCAAAATGCCTCAGTTTGCAACAAGAGCAACGCTTCTCAGTGCGGAATGCTTGAAAGGTAGAAGTTTGTACGGAGAGGCTGCAAAACAATTAATTCGCATGACTAGCGAAGATTCAGATTTGCGTTCGGCATTGCTATTAGAACAAGCCGCCTATTGTTTTGTCGGGCCGAAAATGATGCGCAAGTACGCGTTTCATGCTGTCCTTGCTGGTCATAGATTCTCAAAAGCAGGTCAAAGAAAGCATTCGTTAAGATGTTACCAACAAGCATACCAGGTACTCCTAATCAATTATCATTAAAATATTACTTGTTATTATTCAAATATCTATCATTAGGTATATAATGGGAGAGGTTGGTCATTAGCTGAAGATCACATACACTTCACCATTGGCAGACAAGCTGCATCCTTAAAACAAGTCAATGAAGCAGTTAAAGCATTTGAAAAATTATTGAATGCTTATAGCAAGCAACCAGCTATACAACAAGCTGCATTTTTACGTGAATTTTTACATATCCATAATGTAAGTATAAATAGCGCACAATCCTTTATTTAATATTTTGTTATATTAACCATAATTTGTATATTGCAGTTACTATTGCAGGAAGGTTTGTCAAATCATGAAGAGCTTCCTATCTTGCCTTTACCACTAATAGATAGTAATAATATTAAAGTATTGTATGGTCCTTTAGCCAAATCATATGAAAATAATATTCCAGCAAGTCACGTTTCTTTTGATAATGAAGAATGTGACGATGTAAGATGGTCGAAAATGGAAGAGATGTTAATAACAGAAGCTCAGGGATCTCCTCCTATGATATTTAAAGCAACGGTTGCATTATATTCTAAAGCAAGTAATAACACTGTGAAACCGAATTCTGTTGTAGACGAACCAGTGCATTTTTCTATTGAATTGTATAATCCATTACATATACCGTTGCCATTATCTAATATGACCTTATTATGGTCATTTACTTGCGGCAATAAACAAACTACAAATGAAATAAAATCTACAGAAGATTTTAAGCCGGTGGAAACACAAGTAATCGAGAAAATTATTTTACAACCAGCTTGTAAACAAAACATTACATTGTGTCTGATACCAAAAACAGTAGGAAAATTAAAAGTATTAGGTTTAAGTTACAATTTATCTAATCCGACGCATGTAATAGATCCACCGGTTGTTAATCCAACGATAGCGATTAATGGAAAAAGATTGTTTGAAATTAGAGGTCCTAAATTAAAGAATGTTAAAGAGAAACCTGATACAAATATGTATGGAGTTGATTATAGATTAGAAATAAATGTTATTGAAAAGGCACCTTTCATGCAGGTATTTAATATAACTACATATGAAATATTTGATATTTTACATTGCAATAAATATCAATTTTCTTATAGATCTACTTCAATAAATTAAATTCAGAAATGTTGTGTGGTGAAATTCAGAAATTAGAAGTTACATTAAAAAATGTGGGTAATGCATCACTGACTAATGTTTATGTAGCATCCACAGATGCCAAACTTATTTCACTAGGAGACGAATATATTAATACTCAAGAAGGTATATATTTTTAAATATATAATCAACGAAAGCAACGTTATATTAGTAATTTATTTATTATTTCAGAACATACGGTAAAAAGAAGTAATAGACTTGTAATTAAAGTCCCATTATCATCTGATGTATTAAATGTTGGAGAAACTCATACAATACCATTGTGGATTAGAGCACCCGATGAAAAAGGAAATCATCGTTTAGATTTACTTTTTTACTACGAAAATATTGATTCGAAAAGCATAATCAAGCATCGAGTTTGTAGACATAGCTGGCATTTCACAGTTTTAGATTCTATACAGATCAGCGCAATTGCCTCGAGAAGTATATTATTGAAAGATGTCTCACCTACCTTAAATTTAATAGTATGCATTAAAAATGCGAATCAAGTTCATGATCCTGTTATGAATGAAATTCTATTATCCAAAGTATTGTTTCAAAGTGTTACGTGGTCCGTATTCAGTTCATCTGTTTTGCCAACAGATATTAAGATACAGCCTCAGGAAATGTTTCATTTAATGCTTAAGTTAAGAAAAAAGAATGAAGGGGAATTGAAATTTTCTGAAGTATCTTTAACTCAGAAAAATGATTCCATGGAGTCAAATGGGAACTATCCATATATTAGTTTCATACAAAGGAGAGATATTCCGTCATTAGATATAAATGAAAATTTAACCGAGATGCAACAGCAATCTCAGCGATTGCCCCAAAATGTGGAGCAATCGCCTTTATCTGTTACCATGACATTAAATTCCACTTTAATCCTCAAATGGCGAGCAAAGATAATTGAAGGTGGGATTATTACTAGACAAGCAATTGGTCAACATCATCTTGCTATAGAGTATTTGGATAAAACTTACAAACATCCAAAGGAGATTCAAGTTGAAACAAACGAATATGGTGGACGTTTAAAGATATTTGGTCCAGATAAGAATATACTCGATTATATGGCCGTTACACTCAAAGATCAACAATTAGAAACAGAATTCTTGAAGAATATCATTTCCTTTTCTTTCAGTCATGCTAGACAAATCACACATAATTTCAATAAAAGTCAATTGTGCTTTGTTCCAGTAATAATGTATATACAAAATCATTCGGAGTCACAAATTGATATTAAAGTCAGTACAATAGGAACTACCAGGTAATAACATCAATTAAGTGTACTAACAATTAGTTACTTAATTATTTATATTGATTACGTTTACTTTTTGTTTCAGTAAAAACAATCTTCCAAGGGTAAAATCACAACTTTATTCTCCACAAGCTTCTACGTACTACAGATATGCTTGTCATTCGTCAATTTGTTCTCACATAGAACCACTTGCTAGTAATATTATAAAATTACAAGCAGTACTTCCATCCCCTGGTACATACGACTTAGCAGCACGGGTAGAAGTTTCTGTAAGAGTTGTAAATACTAAAGAATTCGTCTTACAGAAATGGAAAATGGAAAGTATATGTATTGTTAACGGTGATAGTAAATAATTAAAAATTATGAAGGTATTGTAATTGTTATTATTATCATTATTATTATTATTATTAGGTAACAAATTTCATTTAAAATCATTCCTTAATGCTATGTAAATATTTAATATTTATCAGTCTATTGCTATCACATCTTGATAAAAGTATATGTATTATTTAATATACATCACAATATTTAATTTTTGTAGATACCTTATAATATAAGCAGATTATTATGTTACATTATATTCTATAATAGCTATTTCAGATGGAGTAATATACTTTTTTTTTTGTAAATTCATCTGTTAAAGTTCTTATATAAAAATGTACTGAATTATGATCTCCTAAGTAAATTTCCAAATTATATTCAAGAAATTGTGTCATATGTTTTGAAAGAAAAGATACGTTTTCACATCTTTCAAGTGAAAATAAAAAAGTCTATGAACGTGTAGTCACAGAGTGCTGTAAACAGTAAGAGTAAAATAATAGTGTAACTAAATATAAAAATAAATGTTTAGTCAAACAATTATATTATAAAATTATTATACCATAAAGCTGTACAATATGTGGATATTTCTGTATGCTAGTAATAGAATTTAGTATAAAAGAGATATTCAAACAAGACATTCAAGTAGTATAAGTCCATATTCAAAGGATTAACAAAAAAATATTGTAAAGCAGCATTTAGTTATCTGATTTCAAAGGATATATATCGTATATACATATTTGATAATGTTATGTTGTACATACATAATAATATATATTTTATACATATAACATTATATAACAATTACAATTAAACATTTTTATATAATTAAATAAAAATACAAATTATACGTAAATTTGTATAAATATAATATTACGAGTTTAAATGGCACGAGTTTCAACTAAATTATAATATCAATTAATAAAGATAAAAACTCACGAACGCGTCACGAATATTAAGCTTCTACCAAATTAAAATTAATATTTATTTATAAATAATATTCTTTTATATATAAAAAATATAAATTTTTTTTTTTATTTCTTTGTAATTTACTATTGAAAGTTTGTTTTATAAATTTGAACGTTTTTTATTTATATTTCTTTGGTCATGCTTAGTATTTGTAAATATACTAATTTACAATTTAGTCGTTTTATTTGTACGATTTCATAGCGTTTGTCATTGCTTAAAATAAAAATTGATCTCTATGTAAATTATTTGTACATCTGTTTGCGTTTTAGTATGTTCGAATCTTTGTCAATTATGCTAAGCCGATTTCCATATACATATTGCTAGATTTCCAGCACAGTACATGTATAGAAGGTGTTTCAGCTGATAAGTTATTTCAAATCCATATCCCTCGCCTACAACCGTATGCCAAGATGCGCCGAATCTTTTATCCATGGTCTCTTTAATCATCCTAGAAACACTTTCATAATTATCGGCATATTTTTCTGCCGCAGTAACACACAATTCCATTGCTTCTTGTTTCATTTCATCTGACATATCACATTTCTGCAACAGAAGATGAAGATAACGTTCGAACAAACATTGCCGTAAATTTTTAAATAAACAGTATTATAAATATATGTATATATTGTTTTAGCACCGAAATAATTGTAATGTGCAGTAATACATTTTTAAAGTTACATTGTACATATGGGAACACTGTTTTGCGCCTTGACTTCTATTGATTAGATACTGATAAAAGGAATTGATTGTATTTCTTTAATATATACTTTTAAATAGAATAGATGTATAATAAATTTTACTCACTCTGCAAAGGGGATACGTGTGTAAAATCTTAACGACATCATCTTTCTTCACTTCAGTCATTCTTATAATTAAAATTTCATCAAAATCGTATCCAAATATCACCATTCGTGTTTGGAAGAAGGTAGAATTGTCATCTTCCAGGCGCACGCTTACCCCTGAACTTCCTGAACCCTTAAGTCAGAGGTTCTCAATTTTTGATGTAATGTAAGGGATAAAATACAATTGGAAAATCATGTTATAATTTTATGCCGTATTAAAAACATTCTAACATGTATCTGTGATTTGTAGTAATTAAATAAACATTGTTTTATTGAATTATTTAATACATATCTATTATATACAATGATAAAGAACATTTCATTGTTAAGATATAAATTTTAATTTATACCACTTTAATAATAAATAAATTGTTTTAAATGTTTTTTGTTTTCATACACTTTGTATTTGAATAAATAAATACTTCCTGTTATTTGGAACTTAAAAGTAAGGTTAAGTTTCAAATCTTAAGATAGCATTTGTAATTAATGTTCGTCGTAACATATTTATTACATCAATAATTTTATTAGTAAATAATTTAACAATATAAATTTTGAAATTATTTTCAGGTATTCTCTGTAGAGAAAATGACATCACGATTCAGTGGGGCATTACAAATAACAAACTTGGATGATTTTATTACACCTTCACAAGTATTTTCAATACTTTTTCATTTTTTTTAATAATAATTATTTATTATTTGTTGTATGTTATTTTTTGTTTGCAGGAATGCATAAAACCTATAGAAATTCAAGCATCAAAACGAAGAAGTGGTGCAAAAATAAAAATTGAAGAAGATGGAGTACCATCGATATTAAATGAAGTATAATATCCAATTATATATATACATGTATTTATTTTTTATACATTGTTTTACAATTGTTTATTTCTTTAAATGATTAGATTGGGCAATCTGAAAAACTGCAGAAGGTGGAAATCACACTTGCTGATTGTTTAGCTTGTAGTGGTTGCATTACATCTGCAGAAAGCGTGTTAGTTACACAACAAAGTCAAGAAGAACTGATGAGAGTATTTAAAGAAAAAGTATCTCAGTGTCAAGTAATAGTTATTCTCATCCAATTGCTAATATTGTACAATACATAACACATAATATTGCTTTAATTTTCAGAGTGGAGATGGTACCAAATTTATAGTAGTTAGTCTTTCTGTGCAAGCAGTATTGTCTGTAGCAAAACGTTATGGTCTTAATTCAGAAGAAACATTAAATAAACTTGTTGGCTACTTTTATGAATTAGGAGCAGATTCAGTTTTAGATATGACTGTAGCTGATGATTTTGCTCTATTAGAGTCTGCTAAAGAATTTGTAGAACGTTACAAAGTAGCTAAAGGTGGTGCAGCAAATCAATTACCAATGTTATCTTCTTCTTGTCCAGGTATAAAAAAATATATTTTATTTTTATTTGATATAAAAAATACATAATACTTTTTGTCATGTAGGATGGGTATGCTATGCCGAAAAAACTCATGGCAATTTTATACTTCCATATATTAGTGTAACAAAGTCCCCTCAACAAATTATGGGATCATTAGTCAAATATCATTTGGCTGAAACCAAGGGTCTTGCACCAGAACAAGTGTATCATGTAACTCTCATGCCTTGTTATGATAAAAAATTAGAGGCATCTAGAGAAGATTTTTACAACTCTGAAAGAAATTCTAGAGATGTAGATTGTGTTATAACACCAAGTATGCATTTCAAATTTTACAAATATATATTATATATATGTATATTAATATTTACCTTTTCCTATTAGTTGAACTAGAACAAATGCTTAAAGAATATAATGTGACATTAAGTGAAGTAAAAGAAAATAAAGTTCAAAAGCCTTTTGGGGTAGAAATGGAAAATTTGGAAAGCAATTTATGCGGTCATAGTGGTTCAGGATCTGGTGGTTATGCTGATTTTATCTTCCATTATGCTGTAAAACATCTATTTGATGAAACAGATGTTACAGCTGAATTTAAAAGTCTTAGAAATCCTGATTTTCAAGAGGCCATTTTTCAAAAGGATGGTCAGATATTATTAAGATTTGCCGTTGTTAATGGGTTTAGAAATATACAAAATCTTGTGCAAAAATTAAAAAGAGGAAAATGTTCATATGATTATGTCGAAGTTATGGCATGTCCTTGTGGTAAGTTTCATTTGAAAAATATAATTAAAATAGTACATACTAACTATATATTTTAATTTAGGATGTCTAAATGGAGGAGCACAAATTAGACCTGTAAACAATATTCAACCACGTGAATTAGCATTACAGTTAGAATCTATATATCATGAACTTCCTAAAAGTGATCCTGAAAAGAACAAAGCGGTTCAGAATCTATACAGAAATTGGTTAGGAGGAGAATGCACAGACAAAGGTTTAGCATATTTCCATACGCAATATCATGAAATAAAAAAGATAAATACAGCTCTTACTATAAAGTGGTAATAAATGATTAATTATTAAACATTGTGAATATTTATTTAAACAATAAATTTGTTCGAAATACCACAAAACTGAAACATATGATTTAACAAACATAACGGGAATCTTATTACAAAATAATGATCTTATAACTAAATTGATGAAGTACTTATAATGCTAAAATGTAGAGTAAATGTAAAAAATTACATATAATGTATACCAATTGTTTTATATCACATTTACATAGCAATATATTGTGCTAAAAGTACAAAAGATTGTCTTTTACCGTTATTAATATCATTTAATTAAATAATCTAAGGTGACTAGAACAAATACTAAAAGAGAATAGAATATGTTACTTTGCATCTTTTCCTCTAATAGTGCAATAATATTTTGTACAGAGTATTATTACACATTTGACGAGCTATAGTTAAATACACCATAATATACATTTATTAAATCAATACATTTTATAAAATAAATTTATTTATGTTTTGAATAATACTGGTGAAGCAATGTCAGAAAATGTAGACCAAAGAGAAAACAATGTGAATGTAACTTTTGTTAAAATAATAAAATTATGTTTAATTTACTTATATAAATAGTACTCTTGAAGTATATATTACTTTTTGAATTAATAACATTGATTATGATACAAATTGTAAATTAATAATTAACAACCTATTATTTATTTTTAAATGTGTTAAAATTCTTTTAATTGTTAAAAACAATATAAAATTCTAAACATAATATAAAAATGATTATATTTCTTTCTTCTTGTTTAAAGAAATTCATATACTGTGTAAACTTTTTTTTATTTCAATTTTCTAAACTTGTTTATTAATGAACTATTGTCATCTCAATTTTAAATTTATTTTGGCCTGAAACATTGAGTTGTTGACTTAGAACCTTTAATTACCTAGAGTTTTTGTTATCTATAAATTTTTCATTTTCATTCAATTCTTTTGATTCCATTTTTGTTAAATCTGTACAATTATCCTCAATATATGTAACTGAATTATGATCAGTATTAACACTTTCTTTATTTGTACAGGTATTTATTAACCATCCTTGACTGCTATCTATTTCTCTTGACACAACCAGAAACAATTCCTTCTCTTTACTGTCTATCTGGTCCTTTAGGTATGTAAGTAAATCATTCTCCTAAGAATACATTATTTGTCAATAAAAAGATACTGAAATATTAGAAACAAATCAACTAACCTTTCCTATAAGCTGTGGGGAATCAAGTTTTGAATCAAGATTATAAAAGGCACCATGAATTTTCTTCAGGGCAATCCAATGACGTCTTTTCAAAGGAAGTAATACAAATCCTAATTTATATTTTGTTGGTACATTTAATATGAAACCTTCAATATTATCTAAACACAGACATTTAGGATCTCTGAAAATTTTATAGTCATACAAACAAAATCCTTTTCAACATTTCTCTTATGATTACTAATGTATTTTACAAACCTCCGTTTGTCAAACCATACTGCTTCACGTCCTTTCTGCTGTAATGCTGCCATAATAACATTAATATCATAATTACCAAGTCCTAACAATGATTTGTGTGGATTAATCCATACATCTGGACTTAAACTATAACAAATTTGATCTAATTTTTGTTTGTTGAAACCTCTCTCTTGAAATAAATTATTTAATGCATGTAATGCACAAAGTTCTTTCACCTATAAGAATAAAACTTATGTCATCACACTCTATAATCATACAGTATATACAAGCATAAAATATTTAGTAAATTACTTGTTTCTCATGGTATATGGATCCAGGCATATCATCTGATGTGTTTGCAACCATTTTATCTACATAATTTTTATTACATACTGTATTACAAATTTTATTAATTAATCATTTGTGCTGTTTATGAAAATTTCAAAATTTTACTTTAATTCAGGGTGTATTAACCTCAACTATCTAATATCTTTGCAAATAAAATCACTTATTTACTTGAATCAATGTAAAATTGTATTAAACAAGAAATAAGATACAAACTTCACTGATAATAAATACTGTCACTTCACAATACAATGTAATTTCGTGAAAAATCAACAAAAATTACTATCATATATACAGATATCGCTTTCATATACGTGTTATCTATAATACGTTCATTCATAACTTAGATATCTTGAAGGAAGTTTACATACATTTTTTTTGCATTCGTAAATACGAATATCCAATGATAGTAAAACACAAAAAAGACGCGCATGTAAACCCACCATTCCTTGAACTGTAAAATCAAATTATATTATTTGGAACTTTTTCTAATCTTTACAATTTATATTTCAGGTCAAGAAAAAAAAGTGTTACAATACAAATTTACTACCATATTAATATTGGTCAACCTGTAAAATTCACAATGAATGCACCACTTTGAAGTATACAAATGGAGTAAGTAAGGTTTGAAAAATTGTTATAAATTCATTACAGGAAAATTAAATTATTAACAGAATCGAAAGTTATCACTTATTGTTTTTTTCAGAATATTCTTTAATGGCATAGTTTAATTGTGGGTAAAATGTTAATTGAATACAAATTTATAAGAGAGATAGATTGTAAACAAGGAGCTGTGAGAGCTGTAAGATTTACCGGTATGTAGGTACCTTTAACATTCATTTAATAATATTTATAGGTCTAATATCAACCTTTCTATTTAAAAATATTATTTATCTAAATATGGTGATTTTTTAGTTGATGGAGCTTACTGTTTAACCTGTGGATCAGACAGAAAATTAAAATTATGGAATCCACACAGAGGTGTAGCTTTAAAAATATATGGTGGTCATGGTGATGAAGTAATGGATGCTTGTGCATCATGTGACAGTAGTCAAATTGTTTCTTGCGGTTTAGATAAATCAGTTATTCTTTGGGATGTATCAACTGGAACACCGGTTCGTCGTTTAAGAGGTCATGCAGGTCCAGTTAATGCAGTAAGGTATATGTACAAAGATGAAAGTAAATAATAATGATATATTTATACTATAAACACACCTTTCTTTTGATGATAGATTTAATGAGGAGTCTTCTTTAATTGTTTCTGGATCAAGGGATAATTCAGTTATGTTATGGGATGTACGTTCTAGGGTACTAGAACCAGTACAGTGTTTAAACGAAGCCAAAGATTCCATCTCCAGTGTTAGAGTTTCAGACCATGAAATTTTGACATCTTCGTTTGACGGTAAAATACGTAGATATGATATTCGTATAGGTGAAATGAATGCAGATTATATGGGAGGTGAGATTATTAACGAGTGAGATATTCATTATAATAAACAATATTCAAGATAATTAAATTTGTTACAAATATTATAGATGCAGTGACATGTGTCAGTTTTACAAGGGATGGTCAATGCATAGTAGTCAGTTGTGCAGATGCTGTAATCAGATTAATGGATAAAGACTCAGGAGAATTGCTTGGAGAATTCATAGGTCATGCAGCAAATAACTTATGCTTAGAGTCAAGTGTTGATAACCAAGATACTCGAATTCTTTCTGGATCAGCAGATGGGAAATTATGGATATGGGATTTAGTTTCTCAAAAAGTAGTTACAAAACTTTCAGGATTTAAACCAACAAAACATCCTGTAGTATCGCTGAGTGTACATCCACAAACAAACTGTTTTGTAGCTACTAATGGAGCAAATGTATTGATGTGGAGTACTGTATCTTCAGTACAAGAATAATGCCTTTATTATAATTTTTGTATATAGTATTTAATCAATAATATTACAACAAAACCGTTTAATTTTTTATAAATATAGTTTAAACTCATAATGCCTATAATAATTGTAAAAGTTCGTGTACAAAGTTTTAATACATAAAAATAAACTTCATAAGGAAAGATTTTCTACAGAATTTCATCGAAATTTTATAGGTACAGGTGTGTTTATTGAAGACAATATGGGTTATGTTAAGCTGGGTCACGTTAAAGAAGCAGGTTACGGGTACGCATATAACGTAACCTTATCAACAATATAAAAGTGGTGGGGAGAAGAAATAGTGGAAATGGCGACGAACCAGAGGGAGTAGCTGCGCGCGCAGGTGGCGCGATACCGGTGCGTCAGAATCAGTGGTCATCAGTGTTCGCCCGGGAGAGGGAACGGAAAAGAGAGAAAGGTAGAATAATTTCGTACAGCAAAGAGAAATAGAACAGCTGTGCGAGAGGAAGAAAGTACAACGAATTCATATGAACGAACGAAAAAGACAGAAGAAGAAAAGAGGGAGTAAGGGATATACAGTGAAACACACACGAAGGTGCTTGCACACGGGGCGGGCCTGTCAGTCTCAACCACTTCGTGGAGTGTACTTTTTATTCTGTCCTCGAGCACGCAGCCACTCTTGATTATTGCCTGTTTTCATGTACATGATTGAGAATTTGTGACTCGCCCGATGCTGATCAAAGACTGTTCGACCGCGTGCTCTTATCAACTATTTGATGATAATTGTTCAAGCAGCATCGTGAGTGAGGATTGTTGTTGTTGTTGATCGATCTCCGGTTTGCCGGCTGTCAAAGTCAGTATTGGAAAACAAAAATCGTGAGAAAAACAAGGGGTAATTTTGTAAGTCCTTGGTGTAAGTGGTGGTGTAGAAAAGAAGTGGTGGAAGAGACGAAAAAGACAGGTGTGCAACGAAAGAGGGTTGTCATGGGGCGAACCTGTCGTCTTCTGCTACTTTTGCCCCTGTACTTGCTGACTGTATTCGGCTTTCTTACAACGGCTAATGCTTACTCTACTGACAGTAAGTTACGACTTTTCATTATTAATTACATAGAGGAAGAAAGAAAAATGCGAACGGTATCGTTGTCATTGAAAATGTACCCGAGTTACGGTATTGTTGATTGACAAAATATGTATGGGATGTGCCATGCGCCAATACTGCTTATATAATCGACATCTTTCGTGTACATTTTCAATGAGAAGTTCCTACAAATCGGTCGACGTAGGACGCGGGAAAGGAGGACAGTCGCCGATATATATAAAAAAAAAGATATCTGACGTATAAGCTCAATACCCACGATCTCTATAAGGGGGATGCTGGTAGAGTGAAAAGTGAGTTAGTCTAAAAATGGGGAAACACTGCGATAGATGGAAGCACGTGAAGATCTTGATACATTATGCTTTTCACTTGATGCCCAGGACATTTTTGAAAACCTAAAAAAGTTGAAATGTTTATTACGCATGATTGAAATTTTTTTCTAATATTTTCAACGTATCGTATATGAAAATTCACGTTCAAATTTTTCCATTATCAAATAAAATATAATCAACTTGCTGATTATGTAGGGTGGATTTTGATATTTAAAGTAATGGCATATTGCGTATTGAACAATGTCATAAAGTGTGAATAGAATTATCGATTACACCTGCTTCTTTTTATAATCTAACCACATTTTTTAATGACCTTTTAGTAACCGTTAATTATTTAAACTAACTCATATTTCTGGAAAATGTTTATCTAATCATATCTAATAATGAACATATAAAAAACAATTCCATCCTCTTGATAAATATATTTATTATCCCTATAAAGTAAATAATATTACAGTTATAATGTTTCAGACACAACATTCATATTTGTCGATATATTTTGAATATATTTTTCAGTAGTTATATAATTTTTCCTCGATTTAATGTAAAATATAAAATTGCAAAGCTATTTATTTCTGTATTTATTAATTTCGAAATTAAAGGTAAATTTACGTGTTATAAATTGATTCGTGTAAATAACGGTGATTGATTATACGAGTGAATTCAAAGAGAAAGAGTATCGTTCGATTAATCGATAATCGTTTCATTCATTCAAGACTTCACATCAGTTCTTACTGATCTCTGGTATAAGTTAAACGTGACTCGACGTTTTCCCTTTTTGTCAACATAATTGATGATTCAGTTATTTTCGGAATTGTTATAATCATAGGTCATATTAATATACTATATTAAGTGATACGCGTTAAATTATTGCTAATTTAACCTAATGGGAAAATATTATTAACGAGTCACGAACTTATACGTATACAATTTTGCATTAGAAAGTGATTTTTTAATATAAAACGTAATTTTTTGCAACGTGTTGGTATGTGGATTTCCATTTTGTTTTATTATATTCCTTTTGAATATTAATTGACACGAGTGGGAAACTTAGTTCGACAAATTGAAAGTGTAAAAAATGTCGGTCTACTCATATCACTCATTTAAGTGAAAGTACGTGTTATACATTTATATTTCCTTTCGTTTAATATCAAAATAGACGGAAGCTGATGCTTCTTTGATGGTTTTTCCTTTACAGTGCATTTGTAGCGTGTTGGAATATTGATAGTGATTTAAATGATGAGATCAAACTGTGTACGGGATAGCATTGTCTCATCTTATTAATATTGAACGGCAAGGTTAGCTTGCAAGATCTATTTCGTAATCAATAAATGAGTGATTGATTTATGATAACAAATTCTTTTATTTAACGAAACATCACGTTTAATTTTTTTATCTTGTAATAAAGAAGAACACTGGTTAATATTTCTGCATTCGTGTAAAACTTTCTTTAAAATTAGGAAGATTCTGGCGCGGTTCGCGAAACGTGACTGACTTCGCGTGATTAATACGATAAGTTCAATATCTTACACAGATGGCGTTATTGACATCTGAAGTTGTAGGCAATATCAATCACGCAGTTAATAATTTTATTTTGAAAGTAAATTTTTATTAATAAATAGTTGAATTAACATTAAATTGTTTTACAATAAGATTGATTTATGTATATAATCTCCGAGCAACTGAACTTTAAACTAATATTGCAAATCAAAATATGGCGCCAAATGAGTAAGTCTTTAATGCTTCTTGTGGAAATATATAAAATATATATTTTTTATTATATAAATTACAATAATTTGAAATACTGTAAGGTAAATCGGACAACAAATAGTAAATAAGTACATATATACCATTATCCTCGATACTATAATCGATTATAGAGTATTCGATTTTCTGTTTTTTACGTTTAATTGGTTGAAACGTAAATCACGTTAATTGAATAACAAATATTGATGTTTTTGTGAAGTTGAAGCGCTATTAAAAGTATAATTGAATCGTTGCCACCACCGGAAATGTTAAACGGGATGTACATACAAGTTCGATATGCTTTCACGTTATCGTTCGTGACGTAATCGAATTTAAATAATACGAATGTCCGCGAGTTGTTCGGCGTGGTAATGGAAGCGAATTGAAAGTGCAGTTGATTTATTGGATAAAATCCACCAAAGTTTTTTCAACTAGTTCATTGGTACATACATTGTGAATTGTCTTTAGAGAACAGTGCGCGCATTAATTCCTTTGAAATGAGAGTGAATCGAATCCTCTTCGCGAAATTGAATCACGAAATTAACATTCGTTATGTTCAACGTTTTGAATCAGAAAACAGATTAAAGAAACACAATGTGTAATACAGGTTTGTTATAAATTATGAAAAAAAAAAGAACAATTACGTCAATATTGTTCACGTAGTAGTAAATCAAGAACACATACGTTTCTAACCTCTTTATTTTATTTTCGTCTCTTTTTATTTTACATATTATTTTATTGGCAATTTATCATGCTGACGCAGTAGCAATTTCATTTTGTTTGCTTTATTTCATTTCAGACATGCCTTGTCCTTTAAGGCAATTTCGATGTGCGAACGGTTTATGTATACCGAACTTGTGGGTCTGCGACTTAACGGATGACTGCGAAGACAATTCCGATGAAACCGCCGAGGAATGTAATGGTGAGCGATGAGGCGAATATTCAAATATATCGGGGAATTTTGTGAGAACCGATGGTTGACGATGCGGAAGCTTTCGTAAAGGGACGAAATATGAAATAGTATCGTCATTTGTACGATGCATACTCAGAGCACGATAGGCTTTTCTAGAGAAAATGGCGGGAAGGAGGAATTTTTTAAGTTCAAAAGTTTGTTTTAAATTACTTTTAATATCAATATCTTGAAAATTAAGCTCACTGTACATTTTTCGTACTACGTCGATGCGAAATGCGTAGCGTAGCGTAGCTTCAATTAATATCCGGTACTAATAACAACTGATTGATTCTGCCAAGCATTCTGCGTAAATAATAAAGGACGCATTCTGGTCCTTTATTTTCATCAATCAATGAAATATGGTTTCCTGCTAAGCGTTGAGCGCAAAATTGATCTAAAATTGAATTGTATCCTTATATTGTCAGTCCTTTGATCGAGAATTCAGGGGATGAAATGTTTTCAGTATCAAATTTTCTGCAATGTAGCTAGCTGGGAAAACATATTTCACAATTTTAACTTGAATGAACGGCGTTTTCTTGCGGCGTTCTAAAAGTGTTTTATAAGCCTGCGCACGTATACTGAACGAGGCATTTTGTCGATAAACAAAATGCGTATAGTCACTATTATGACACTGATAGGTCGTTATAGATGTTAATGTATCTCGCTACGTAACCAGATAAACTATATTTAAGACAATGTTAAATATACAATAGCTGTTGGCTGTTAAGTAGTAGATTCTAGCCAGGAATTGATCACACGACTTTGTTTATGAAACTTGTTAAGCACGTGGTTCATTTAACAACCTCAAAGTGTTTTTAATAGCTTTTCTGTTTTAGATTGATAAAGTTAATTATTCTAGAATATTTGATATCTTCTATTGAAAATTATTATGCTCTGAAACGAGTTTTCAGTGATGTTTAGTTTGAAACTTATGAGGAATACGAAGCTACGCGCATGAACCGGTTTTTGGAAAAATAGTTCATTTGGGTTAGTCAAACAAGAAAAGATCGCTTTAAAGCCCATCAAATAAAATACTGGAACTTTGCACTACCTTTCCTTAAAGGGGTATATGGCATTTGAAGGGAGGGAAAAAATATGCATTCTTTAACCCTTGAACAGCGGAGCCTAAACAGCGGAGATAAACTTACTTGTTTGAAAAATGTAGTTTTGAAAAGTAGTGTTTAAATTTTAAAATCTTGTAGAGCTTTTGAGACCTTTCAGAAATCTTCCAGAAATTATCTACTGCACTTCTAACGAATTTTTGGTTGAATATTTTTGAACAAGAAAATTAAAAACGATAATCAGTTTTTGCAATATTAAATTCAAGATAAAATCATCGGATAAAAATTAAAGTTTCTACAAATGTTGCAACATGTGTCTTCGCGTTTAATTTTCAAATCGTCTGAAATTTTAAGTTTAGCAAGTGCTCGAGGACAGTAGTATTTTTAAACTTGGCTCAGCTATAAGTACACTATTTCGAAAAATAAGCCTCAGAAACGTTTATGTAGTCATTTGTGTGGTACTTTAAGCTTTAAATCGATTTATCATAGGTGTTATTTCATGATACTTTTAAACCCCCTGTGGCTCGGGGGGGGGGGGGGGGGGGGGGGGCTTAGAATACGGCCACGGTATCCCCTGCCTGTCGTAAGAGGCGACTAAAAGGGGGATGTAAAGGAACGAGTAAGATGAGTGGACTCAAAAGTACGTACGAAAGGGAAAAACAATAATTTAATATGATAATTCTTCAATGATACATTCTTCATTATGAATCCGTTTTATCATTGAGACTGCAGTTTCTTGATCGTCAATGACCAATCTTTCCGTCTTATTCAATCAGCCTGATGCGTTCAAATCAATTTGTTATTACAATCGCAATAAGATTGCAACGTGGATCTATGTTTTTGCAGATAAAGAAACGATGTGCGTAGTGACCCCGTAACGAACTCATGGTGCCATTCCTATCATTACAAAAGAAAAGAAAAGAAAAAATGTAATTCATCGGCTGGTATCTTGATTGATCCATTATTGAAGGTTTCGATTCGATCGAGTCGGTTCATTAATTTCGCGCGTGTATAAGTTCGTCTCACCACCATAGAGTAATTGCTGGTTTTGAAAGACCAGGAAATCATGCGAGTTAATTTTATGCAATCCTCGTAGCAGGAACAGTTGCGGTAAAAAAAAATAAAAAGAGAGAGAGAAAAAAGAAAATAGATGATAATTGTAATAATCGTATGAGTATGTGATTATAGGTTTGGATGGAATTCCGCAAAGATAGACGGATAGAAAAAGTTGGCGTCCTTGTTAGAGCCCTGTGCTTTTCTTTTAGTACAGTCGCGATCAAATCAGATTTTCACTATGGAGGGAAGAGGGTGGTGGTCCCACATGTACAGAGTGTCTGAGAAAGAATGATAATCCCCTGAAGTGGTGGTTGCTGGGCTGATTTTGAACAACTTTTTATCTTTACCAAAATGTTGGTTAAGGCTTTATTGTTGAATTATTAACGAAAAACACTGTCCAATTAGGAGTCTGGTTCTATCTACTTGCGTGTAAAAGTTTACGTGGGAAAACGAATATTTCTCAGTTATATGTATATTAAATTTTATTATTCCTGTTTCTTAAGTACTTTTAATGTAAATATCGTAAAAGTTCAGATTTTGAAGATTCCCTAGGATTTTCCCTGGGGGAAAACCTTGATTTGATCGCGAGTGTACATGGGAATCGGTAACATGTAGCTTCTCGACGATCTTGCATCAGACAGGTTAAGCGTTTCTAATGTACTTTTTTCCCTGGAATTGCCTAAAGGTATGCCAGTCTCATGGAGGATCGACGGTTTGGATAGACGGTAAACATTTTGTTTCGAACGAGATTTCTCTTTGGTGACCAGATAGGAAACCAGGGAAATTCTTTAACAAACACCATGCACTTTCATTTTCCGTTGTTTCATGGTTAAATTTTACAAGATTTTACAAGAATAAAATCAGGTTTAAATTACAGTAATTAGGTTTGTCACACTTGAAGTTGTAAATTGAGCAAGTGCGATTTGATATCATTAGGTAGTTGCATATCAAATGGTTGATTTCGAAACGTAGAAAGTCAGACATGATTTCATGACATAAAAGTATCGCGAAATAACATCTATGATATATCAATTTAAAGTTTAAAGTATTATTCAAAGAAATAAAATCAGAATTTCTTTAAAGGATTTAAATTTGTTTCGAATGTCAACAGTGGACCGGGGTTGACAAAACTAGTACCGCGAATACAGAAAAGGAACAAATGCTTGACAATTTATCAAGGGATGAATTCGAACATTAAGATGTCGGAGAAAGATGTTTGTAGCACAGTCTGCTGCAAGTTGGCGAGTACTGTATATGTAAGAAAGATAAAGAATATAAAGGAACGCTTTGCCGTGTACTGCTTCTTGGAAGATGCTGATCATTTCGTTCACACGCGAACTCTTTTCGTGAATTTCTGTAATTAAAGGGGATCTCTTCTTCTGTCTGCCGTTATAATGCACGAAAATATTGGGTTGTTATAGTTTAAATGGTCCATTCGTTCATGAAACTTTCAGCATTATTATTTGTAATATCGTTAAAAATAATATTCGTTAATTAGAACCTCTGCTTTTCTGTTGATCACAGTTTATTTCGAAATTTTATACCTTTTCAGTGAAATTTGTTTAATTAATTTTGCAAATTAATGAAATTTCATCAGTCACTCATTGTCAGTATTTTAAAATCAAACAGCTGTTTCGAGCTGTTATTTTGTTTTGTAAGAAAAAAAGGAATCTTTGGTATGATTAGCTCGTATCGGTTATCGGAGTAATTTTCAGGCTGGAAGTGTATTCAGAGATGTTCGTCTCGTTTACAGTGCCCAAATAAAACACGATCCGATGTTTGACTCGAAAATTAGCCAATCTTACTTTATAAGCTGGTCGACCAAACTCCGCTATACAGCTCGTTTTGTAGTAGGATGCTTTGTTCTTTCGTTTAGGAACTCGTCTCTTGTTCTTGTTCTTTTGCTTGCATCCCGATTCTACCATGCAATGTGTTCATCAAGAGCTCAAAAATGATTTTTTTTTAAATAACAGAAATAAAAGTCTTCATTATCATATACGTTTGAAAGCATAAAAATATATTTAAAAAGATTGGGTTTAGACTACATACATACCTACATATGTAGTATGTAGCCATTCGTTTCGGCGTTCTTTTCTCCTGCCAAACTCGGTCGGTTCTCTCCCCTTCTGTCTGCGACTTTTTCTTGCTTTTCTTCGTCTTCTTCATCTTCGTCATCGTTTCTCCAATGTTCGTTTTGCCTTGCCTAAGGCTATTCGTAATTTGTAGCGCAAGGCCTGCCTGCACCGGTTGCATCAGAGACTTCATTCCGTGGGGAACCGATTCGGTTGGCTATAAGAACACCCATGTAGCGATGGGATTGATACCATACACATTGATCATATTCAAACAATTTTATACTTGAATATTCACTGACAAAGTATTGAAATTTTAGCTACCTATTCAGTATCAATTATTCAGTATCATCGACGTCGCTCAGTAGAAGAATTCACAGTAACCAATCAAAATAAAAACTCTCAGTTTTACATGCCATCAATTTTAAATGTACTATAGTAGTAATTTTATAATTTTAAAATTTTTATTTATTTATTAAATAATGTTGTCAGGTTATTCCTGTTGAGTACCAATTGGAAATTCGAAATTCGAAATTCGAAATTCGTATCAGTCCCAACGCTACTTGCATGTATGTATCTGGGTACCATATAATTATGGTGAAAGCCAGTCTTGTCGGGATGGTGTTCAGGAGGGGCCAGCACACAAAGTCAAGTCAAGTGGTCGACACATTGGCGGCTTCATCGATTGCTCTTTCGTTTTTGCCTCTCGAGAGGGTGTTCCTTCCTTCGTCAGCTACTTTTCGTCGGCGCATATCGACACTTTTCCAGCACGCTTCGGCCTTCGATTGATCCCAATTGAGTTAGGAACCGTTAACAAAGTCTGATTGGTTTGTATCCGACACAAAAGAACAAGGTCTATTCTGCTGTTTCCCATGACGAACATTATATCATGCAAATCCTATGCGAATTGCTTGAGAATCAGAGGTAATCCAGAAGAAAAAGAGAATTAAAATAATACGGTGAAATGTATAGCGATTGGCACCTTGAAGAGAGGTTTGAATTTAGTTTTGCAGATAGAGGAATAAAATACAAAATTACAAATAATAAAAAATTTACATATTTATATTTGTTGCATTAATAATCGCGAATAAAATCTAAAAATTTTTTAAATACTCAAGCTTCTCAAGAAACGGTGAAAGCTAAGCGCATTATGATTAAATAACAAGAACACCACGATTCATTTTCAATTGACATTTTTCTTGTTCGAATGAAAATATGTCGATTAATTTTTCTTCCAACGAGCGTGAACCAAGAATTACGTGTGATCGAAAGTAAAGGTAGGATATGTGATTTTCTATAGAGACAGGTAATTTACGTAGCACAGGCAGTGATTATTACGTCTGTCTTTATCCTTTGAATGATTGAACAAATTATATGAGCATTCGAATAGTGTAATAACGACCAGCAGTTGCATGATTTCGAAGTCTAAATAGGTTTGTCTACTTGAAAAAAAAAAAAAAAAAAAAAAGAAGAGAGGGAGAAATACACTAAACACAATAAGAAATTAAAATAAAATAAAATGAACTATACTTAGTCTTTCAGAATTATTTAAAATTATTATGTATAATAATTATTATTACATAGTGCAGTGCCAAATACATTGCACGGATTTTACAACTCGTCGATGGTATAGAAAACTGACGACAAACGATCATGAAACAATATGAAAATATTTGTGGTTGCTATTCAACCGAACGAGAAACATAAAGTTCGATGGCATTTTTATGCGATGGAGATCGCGTGTTATTCTGTTCTATCGGAACGTTCATAGGTACATATAACTTTTTCGCGTGGATTCGAATAAAACGGGACAGCCGAAACAGGTATCAGATTTAATGCTAGATTTAATATTATCCGATGAACGAAAGGGATAAATTCCCTATTGTATTCCCCGTTATACATCGGGATATTTTTTTTAAATTTTTATTTTTATTTTTATTCTTGTTGACGAGCAAACAGAATATCGATGAACGATAAATACTTACGGGAATTAATAAGCGGGGACAAAATTAAGTCGTTAAATGTTGGTCCACAGAGATGGTATTATCTGTAATTAACAGAGAAAATTATGATATCGAAGCTATAACATCGGTAATTAATAGTATACGAAATCGGACAAAGGAAATTAATCGAGTAATTAACGATTATGGAGTGGAAATTATTAAAGACAAATTGGAAGTGTTCAATTTGATTAAAGTAGAATATTAAAATTTTTCAAATTTAATGTATTGTATAATAGTAATACTTTTGTTCTTGCATGATTAACTGTCAGCTTCTTCGAAAGTATTAATGATATTTAAAATTTTCTTTTCGTTTACTAACTATGGAATTATACAAAATGTTAGGCGAGGGTCATAGGTGCTTAAAAGGCAGAAAATTAATTTTTACAAAATTCTCAATGAGGCAATTAACATGTTAATTAAATCCTTGTATTTTTAAAATCGTCTTCTTTGATTGGAAACGATTTTCTTTTACTCAGAAACGAATGCAGACCGTTTTCTAAGATCAAATGAAGGAAAAAGCTCGTTTAGATTGAAATGGAACCGATCACAGGAATTCGATAGAAAGACTCTTAATCTGTTGATAACTAGGATAACACGATTCAGGATACGTTTTAAACAGAGTTGAATAAGCGTTACGGGGATACGAAATATCGTAGCAAAGTTAAGGCATTTCAAAGTTAACAATCAAATTCGAGTTTAACGGGAAATGATGGTTATAATTCCTGCTCGTATCATAATCTACTGAAAGTTATGGAAATTTGGTAGCAGTAATTCAAACTTAACGCTGATAATTGAAACATAAATCATGTAGGATTGCTCTTATCAAAATTACTACTACTTTCATTTCATTTATTATATTCTATGGCTTATTTTTATTTTATTGTTAGTATATTATGAACCTACAAATTATTAATAGCTTTAGTACATGATCTATCCTTCAATGAATTCAGAGCGGAATAAAATTTGCTATGCCTTTGCAGAAGAAAAAAATTCATAGAAAAGTTAGTAATAATTGTTAATAATTCAAGGTTTAATTTTTTAACGAAGGGTTAAAACGCTTCAGCATTTGTGAAATGAGATCAGGGTAATGTCGAGACATTTAAAATTGAACATTGCACTCGATGAATAGATAATCGCGATCGTGTTTCCGTCTTGAAGCAGAAACTTCGCTTAAAATATTGGACGTGCCAGCTTGATAATCGTGGCGCATTTTGAACAACGTTATTTTCGCGTAATCGTGGATTTAACAGCGGCAATTAGTTCGGTCGAAATTGGATGTGAGAGATAGCTGGATAAAAAAGAAATATGATATTACAAAAGACGAATGATTTTGTTAATATAGGAACTCATTATCTTCGCTTTTGCATTGACGAGAAATCAGTTTTTTATATTTATTAGATAAGAAATATATAAGGTCTCGATTGATTTTCTCAAGTTCCCTAAGAACAATGAACTCCTGTATTCTAATTATATCAAGAACCTTCTTCATTCGGCCACTTTGATAATAAAATTGTCTACGTCAGCAATTTTTGAATTACCCAAAGAATTATCCAATTTCCCAGCATCTCTTGAACTCCTCTGATTCCAATATGTAACAGTATTTTCTTACAATTAGTCTCTCTGGCACACATAAACGACCCGTTAAAGGAGGGGCTCAAGAATCTCGTTTTGTATTGCGCGTCCGATCGAGAACCGTGTTACCTTATTGCCTCCACTTGATCGTTTGTCTCCTGTCCGACTTCCTGTTTCCTCGTTCATTGCTTTTTTTCAATTTGGCGAACAGACATTTCTTGCTCCGTGCTATGAACGATTTCACTTTCGAGTGATCGTGCGAATGTAATGGACTGTCGTTCACTCGGTCATTTTTCTTTGCTTTTCTCTCGGTAATTCAATTCTTTTTTCAACAGAAGATTTCGAAACAGAAGAAAAAATAACTACGTTATCTTGTAATATTTTTGTTTTGGAAAAATTGAAAAAATTTTGTGGAAAGAAAGAAGTAAGATCGAAACTTCGTTAAGGGCGCAATTGGTTAATTTTCACATGTAACCTTTTAGAATGGTAACTTTGGAATGGCACTATTATAGTGTAATAGCGGTATTCAAAGGTTATCATCAGCCTTCTTTTAACAATTATTGAAATATATAAAATTGGATGCGTCAATCACCAATGACGCTCATTGCCTCTGTCTGGATTGCAGCAATCGTTTAACTTAACCGAATCCCTTTGCCCCGCTCCGATTTTTCATCTTCTTTTCGGTATCATTGATGAAACTGCGAAGAACAAGATCACGTGTGCTCTAATGCGATGCAATTTAACGCGCGATCAATTACGTATGCAGTTACTTTTGCGCCAGAGTTCGACTTCCTTAATTCCGGTTCGATCTGCTCTACGAGCCGCTTGTGCAACGATTTCTCTGTTTCCTCATAAATGCGTCTAAACATTCGTGGACGATGGAAAAAAGTGAACAGTTCTTATCGATGCTCCGCTAATCAGAAATGTCAGAAATCGCCTTATTCGTAGTATCGTTGTTCGTTGTTCTTGATCTTGGTTCAAGTGTATCGATTTTGATGTTGCAATACGATTTTATATAAAAAAACAAAAAGTATCAAGATTATATTCTAAGGTTACATATCTATTGAATGTTATATTTGATACATATCAAAAATCTTTAATCAGAAATGGAAACCAGAGAAAATGTTGCAATCGACTTAATAAAATTAAAATTAAAATCAGCTGAACTTCGTTAATGATTGAAAATTCAATATCGGTTATATTGGCATTTAATATATTAAAATATTAAAGTTTAAGAATGCTCCGTTTCCAAAGGATTAAATATTAGAAAAATTAATATTACAATAATACTATTAGTAAACGATTAAATCTCGTTTCCCAAGAAACATTACCTTTACGAAACACAGAAATTACAGTGCTAAGACTTTTTCTACCCCCACTGTATATCTCTATCGACATTCGTTCTTTCACAATCTCTAACGATGATGTTCTGTTCAGTGTCTATTGCGTGGGCATTATCATCCTTCGCGTAATCGGCAATATCATAGTCCTTGATCGTCGTCCCTCAGTTCCGGGTTCTAATTGACTGATATGAGACAATTTTCTACAAAAAACGTATACATGTACGTGTGTGTGTGTGTGTAGGTATATATATATAAGAATCGCGTTTGATTCGTTGCACGGTGATTAGTATGCGTGCATTCTCCGCATGGCCATATATCGTGTCTCTCCTCAGACCCATATATAGGGACCCGTTTACTCGAGCAGCAGCTTATATTATCCGCAACCAGCGTCGTGAGTGCATCGTTCTCTCTCTCTTTCTCTATCTATCTATCTATCTCGAAATCTCTTCTGTGTTGCATTGAAAGTGTGATACCTTCTCAAAAATGATTTCCACCGTCCAGTGATTTTACGAAAGAGAGCATTCGCGAATGGTGAAAAGGGGAGGGAGGTTCTATTCAGTGAAAGAAGTCTACGATTTATTGGAAAATCGTTTCACGGACAATTGTTTGCTCGACTGAAAAGGTGGTCCCGAAGAAAAAGAGGATAAGAGTATTGTGATAGAGGGTCTGGTTTTCGGGACGTGGATTTTATTCGGCCAGATACGTACCCAATGAACCTCGAAAGATGTTCTGAATAGATGTCGGTGTTTCGGTGGATATCTTCGACCTGGTTGCTACAGTTTCGTGTGATAGTACTTTTATCGGCTGCTTGAACGCTCGAAACTCTGTGAACAGCAATAAAACGATCGACGGACGATTTTCTGGCGTTGCGATATTAAGGAAGCTCGTAAAACGCGCGCCGTTGAAAGCTTTTATATTGGATCACCGATTAAAGTAGCGCCTACCCAAGGTGCATCGCGAACACACAGGATTACGCGAATGTAAAAAAGAAAAGGGGGCACCGAGTTAAAGACTTTAGTATGCGGCTCACTGGAACATCCATGCACCTTTTCATCGCGTTACGATGCACATGCACCCTGATGCAATTCGTGTGCATCGCGTTGCTCGTAAACCCCACTCATCAAGACGACGTTCGGTTTGCAGGTACGCAGAAGTGCACCGATTCCGAGTTCAAGTGCACGAACGGCAGGTGCATACCCGGAACGTGGCACTGCGATGGCGACGTAGACTGCCACGATGGGTCCGATGAGGATCCAACACTTTGCAGTGAGTACAAATCCTTTTTTTTATTTATTCACTTCAATTTTTGACTTCGGATATTTTTACATTACAGATAGTTAGTAAAGCATTCAATTTGAAATGATCTTCAGTTACAATAAAAGATTTATCGAATCTCAATATAAATCTACTATGTAGGTACTAACAATTCAATTTATTTATGCTACTTAAAATTTCAGAAAAGTTTTACTTATTCATTTATTCCATTGACCCCTTTCAAAAGCAGTGAACGTATTAAATATGATATCCTTGTAATTAAGTTCTGTAGTTTGGTTTACTCGATACAAGTTCTGACCGTTGGGTCTGATTGCTACGATTTAATTGTAATTCTACGGAGGGTAGAAAATGGGCGTGAGAATACTTGAGAAAGTTTTGCACCCGTTGTGTAACTTCGTTAAAGAGTTCGAAGATGTGCTGATACAGAAGATGAGCGGAAAACGCCCTCAGATTTCTGATCAGGTCAACCGAAACGTTGGCAAACAGTTACCCCTTTTTCTTCATGAACTTAATTGTTAATTGGTATCGGTGTCTTTTCTTTTTTTGTTTTTTTTTTCTTTTTGAAATTAGTTCTAGAATTTTTTTTATACGGGAAGAGTAAATGAAGATCATTTTGAATTAAGTAGGTTAAAAGGTCATCATAACAGAAGATTTCTATTAATCAAATTTTTAATTTACTCAATATTTCTATTTAACGAAATGAATTGTAATCATGTACGAGCGTGAACAGAAGGTAATCGTAAGCTCATTTGTTCGTGACGAAGCGAAAAAATACAAACGTGCTGTAGCAGGAAAAGAACGACAAACTAGTAAATGGTTCGTTTGTTACGTTTAACGGGTAAATTATTTGCGAGAGGTGAAACGTACAGGCAAACAAAATTATTTCGTTTCACACGTTTGTACGAACGTGTATTTTATTTAAATATTGTACTACGTTGGTGGCGAATTAAGGAGTCGTTCTGTTAAGTAGAATTTAATAACCGTGAATTCGTAAGAATATGTTATTAAATTTTGATAGGAAGTTAAAAATAGTTTAAATACAATATTTTGCAAAGATGTCGTTTGGGTCTTGATTGACCCAAATTTTAAAAATAAATCTTTAATTAAAAACAGAAAAGGAAAGGCACAGAATTAGTTTATACATTTAATATTTTTTTATTGGAAAATTTTCAAAAAATAGAAGTAATATGGAAAGTACTATTGAGCTGCATACCATTTCGGTCAGTTTTGATTTATATGAATAATTCTGATAGATAGCATAGAGGTACATTTACTGATTAAAATTTTTTTGAATTTTTTTTTGTCAGTTGAAATCACTTCCCCTAGTGAGATATCTGTTTTTCAAACTCGGCACTTTTATCTTCAGATATATTATTAAAACAGCAATTTAAAAAATTGTTTTACATCGAAGTACTTAATTTAATATATGAACGAAATTTGATATTTTTATTTATTGTATTTGCAAAAGAAAAAAATCACCCCTTAAGGAGAACCTCCTATTTAATCACTTAAAAAGTGGATGATTTTTATTATTTTTGTATAGAAAACTTTCTGGTTTTTAATAATAAAATACGTACTTAAGGGTATAAAAGAATTGTGTTTTACATTCATGTCAATGACTCTTTTACAATAATAGCGAAAATTCTAAGTGGCAATTTGTGGTGTACGTTTGAATGAAACAAACACGAAGGAAAAAGGTTCTCGTTCCAAAATTCCGCATTGTACAAATACAATAGCTATCGAGGATTTTAGGATTTTTTTTTTCCAGTTTTTGATTTCAAACAATTCCCCGACGCTTTTTTCCCGTCGACAGTTTTTTATTTGTAGTAGTGCATTGAGCGTTAGAAAAATTGGAACAAAATTTTTTTTTTTTTCGCTACCTTTAACTGTATTAAAGAAACCCAAAAAATTTTAACTACACGTTGTACACTTTTCTTCAAAAAAAGTCGTCTACTTTTTGCAGTGATTTGATAAGAGTTTATCCTGGTACGAATCATGCACTGCATCACCGTGATTAGTACGCTTGATATAATTCGTATTCGCGGTACATTGTTATTTTCCAAAGGTAGATTGTGACGCGATATCGCGTTATTAATAATAACAGCGACAGTGCTCGTTCTGATTTCCACGCGGAGTACCGATTAATATTCATGTCTGTGTATTTTGTACAACTCGATGTATATATACGTATAGTAATTAATATTCAATTATAATGGGCTCGTATGTAAATGGGGAGACAGTGTGCCACCGCTGATTACTTTCGCGTTTTAGTGATTGTTCGTATAGTCGTCAGCCTTACTAATTCTAATCATTTACTAATATCTGCACAATTACGTTTCTCAAATTCTGTTTAGAAATTGTTAGTTACACACTGTCAATTAAAAATTTGAAAACCTCACCGTGTCGGAAAGTTTTTGATCGATAGTGTCCCAATATCGTTCTCCAGAATTACTATTCCGTAGCGATTGGAATATATTAGTTAATTACAATCACACGTTCGTCAATCAGTTCATTAGCTATCCCGGAAAACAAACAGATGAACGAAAAAATTTCCTCGGAATGGTTTTTGGTAAGAAGAAAACGAGACAATCATGCGTCCCCGATCGACCCATGTATCGCGATCCCCTCGTTGCAGACGTTGGTATGTGAAAGTGCAACTTTTCGGACCGGTTTCATGCAGGTGAAACGGATTGATGTATGAACGAAAGGCTACCGTTAGCTTCAAGACGCTTTATAGCATTTCCGGTCGATCTCCTCTCGTCTGATCATCGAAGAATTTTTTTTTTTAAAGAAAAAACAGCTTTTATCTTGCTTTCACGATAAGGTTAGAATATTTTGAATTTATGGAAAATTCATGTGCATTTTAAATTCCAAATTCATCTTGTTACTATGAAATTATACGAAGGTCGACAAGTGGTTGATCTATAATAATCGAGTGATACGATAAGTTCACTTGGGGAAACGATCGTGTCTCCTGTAAGATTATTCATAGGATAAGATCGAGGATATTTCAAATATTTCAATATTTACCTTTAGCGACATCGGATCACGTTCAATTTACATAACTCTTCGCGGTGAAATGTCTTAAGAGGTTCGTTCCGTGTTTTCAGTCATTGTTAGATCCTTTAACGAGGCAAATTATCGATTTTAATACCGATCCACGATGGTCGGGGGTAATATCCATTATTACATAGAGACCGAGCACAGTTTTAATATTAATTGCTCGGCTTCCGTGACGCGGTATCCTTTTTTCAACGGTTCGTTCCGATCAGTCGACAATTTCAATATTGCAGAGGCAATTAAACGCGGAGAGACCGATGAAAGATGAAAATCAGTGAGAGGACGTACGATACGTTAAAGGTAAAAAAAAAAATTAAAAAAAATAAAACGAGGGAACTAGGAGGAGGGTTACCGGTCGCTCCAATTATTCCTGCATGCGGTGGTTAATTGAGAATATTTCGAATCATCCACGTGTGGAAACTGTTTCCTGAAATATACAAAGTGTTTCAGAAACATTTAGGATCAGACTGTAAATTAATTTCGTGATTTCTTTTTATTTATCTCCCTTTTGAGGTAAACTATTTTATTATCAAAATTTCTAAATGGATTTTCTATAAATTCTGGATTTTAAAAAGTTACCATTTTTTTAATATGACAAACACTCATTTAATGCGATAAAAGAAAAGTATTTCTCATATCAAACTTTCATCAAGACCTTTGTGAAATATTCATGTCCTTAATAAAAAAAAAAAAAATATATATATATATAAAGCATTTTAATTTATAATAATTCTATGAATTTTATGAAGTGTCGAAAGGATTAAAAACTTTATATGTAGCAAATGTAATAAAGGGACATCGAAATTGGTGTTTATCATTTGTATAACAGTCCTTGTTAATCTGTAAAGAACTTTCATTAGTAGAATGTGCGTATACAAAACAGTTTGAAACATGGAAGTGACATTTCACTGTGCAGAAATTATGTAACCTCGAGAACAATAGTACTACAAGTCAAAGGTTAATATCGTGCTGGGACTATAATAAATCGCGATGCTGATAAATCGTCGTCGATTCGCGTGTTCACGCTCGTACAACACATTTAACGTGTGCCAGATGAAAAATGATTAAGCGATTGCGATCAAAAAGGGTGGAGACCGTGCAGCGAAACGGAGTTCGAGTGCAGCCCAGGGGAGTGCATACCAAAAAGTTGGCTATGCGACCGTCAGCTAGATTGTACTGACGGTTTGGACGAGAAAAATTGTCAGAGTAAGTTATTGATAAATCGTAGGTTCATCGATGGACAAGGAACCAGGAGAAAATAAGAGCAGGTTTAAAGCTACGGAACACAAACGACAGATTATTCGAGGGAGAAACGTAGAAAGGGTCTTGAAATCGCAAATTGCATCCCTGAACTGTTGAACTCGTTTCCTATCAAAGCGGAATCGCGACTCGGCCACCGGAAGCTAATAAATTACCGGCCAAAGTAAATATCGGCTTTCGAATTTTCCTACACTACGTCTCGGAGTTTTGCCAAATGGTTTTTCTTTTTTCTTGTCGGAGCTCTCGACAGGAATTCGAACTGCGATAGGCAGATGAGAAGGCTAACTTTGGAAATTTTTTATTTTTATACTTTTGAATTTCTAAATTTCTTAATTGAAAAAATTGAAAAATTGAAAATTTCCAAGTTCATTTATGCTAAAAAGAATTCATGCTCTTCCAAAAGTACCTTGTATCACCATCCCTTTACAAATGTACCATTTTCTTGCAGTTAAAATGGTAGGAAGTATGTTTGCCATTAGAAGTTGAACAAAGAGTAAACTAAACTCATCTCAATAAATCGGCGAGTTGTAAAACTATCTTTCCAAGTCGTGTGACTTGGATCATCCGTTAATAAACTTTACTACTCTACGCTACGCTATTCTTTCGGTGATAATTCAAAACAACTGTACATTTACAGCCACTTGCATAATGAGTATGGCCTGCGAATGCGAGTCGTAATACTCTCATGGTGTATGCCTTCGTATATTTGGAATTTATGAATTTCATTATAAACTTAAGGCAATGTATGCAGAGTGGATGATAAGGCAGAAAAACACAGTGAAGTTATTTATGATTGTATGACATCAGATTAAGTCCATCTGCTACTGAAATACACTAACATCACAGTTTCTTGATTTATTGTATCAATTAGGTAGCTCTTTTCATTTATTAAGTAATCAGAAATTAAATAAAAAATAATAACGATTAATCTTTGAGCCAAATTCTTTGAAAGTAAAGAGTGAATTTATTATTATAGTTTCAAAAAGAAGTATTCTTAATTCTGATTTCGTATAAATGATAGGAGAAGCATTCATGATCCAATTTTAATTATGATAATTGATATTAATGAATTCTGATAAGTTATTTATAAAACTGGGTAAAATTCAGAGGTAATACATTTTATACATTTAATAATATTTTATACATTTTCAATTGATATGTAATGTATATTTTGGGAAAACTTTGAATTTTGAAAGCTTGCTATTTCAGCAGCTTTCAATTTTGATTTTGCATAAATTATAGAGAAACCACTGAAAATTTAATATAATGAAAAAGTAATTTCTAATAACAGATTAAAAGCTTTCTATAGGATTATATACATAATTGCAAATTAGGAGTTTCTAGTTCCAATTTTGCATAAATTATAGGAAAAGCGTTCAGAATTTAATTTTCATGGTTACATGATATAATAGAATGCTAAATTCTAGTAACAGATTAATAGCTTGTGTCTATAGTATATGTGGAATAAATTTCCAATCAATAATTTACGCATTTTGGGGAAAGCGTGAATTCATTTACAATATAAAAAGATTTCAATTTCAAATTTGCATAAATCACATTTATATCAATAAACCCCCACTTCACAAATCCTCCTTAAAAAAGAAAGCCATAAACATGTGTTAAAATAAGACGATCTTGCATTGAAAACAGCTCGTCCTATTAAAAGAATATAAACTGAAATGTGATAATTTTGTTAAATGCAATTAACTCTGGGAATGCAATTAGTTGATTTCGAGACAGCTTTCTGGTCTGTCGACAAAAATAGAGTACGACGATGCCATGGTCGGCATTGTGCGAGCTAAAATGAGGCCTCTGGCCGTGTATTTGGCACCTCGTCATTCTTTGCTCGAAAAATCAGGTCCAATCGATTATCATCTTGTAGGAACGAAGAATTGCACCGCGGAACAGTTCACGTGTCACTCGGGGAACGGAGAGTGCGTGGCACTTACATGGATGTGCGACGACAATAAAGACTGTTCGGACGGTTCAGACGAGGCTGAGTGCAGTAAGCTTTTGCATGGGGACTCTATTTATGCTTATTTTTTCTTTTCTTTTACATATTCTGAAATATCCATAAGCTTCTAGTATTTTAATAGCAATATTCTATTCTCTTTTTCTTTAGCACGTCGAATGCCAAGAATAATAATACTCTGTAATTGCAATAAATTACTCAAGATATAATCAATTTTTCTTTAACTAGCCTAGTAAGCCTTCATTGACTTTACTAAATTTTTTTAGGGTGATGGGAAACGTGTAATATTATTTAATTTTTTTTTTTATTTATAATTTCAAGCATTATTGTGTTTTTTGTTATTAGTTGTATACCATATTGAATTTTGGTCCACAGTATTTGCATAAGCGGGGACCAATACATATTTTGGTGGGGGGGGGGTAGACCCACCCTATCCCTACTTAATTAGACTAATTTAGTTGGTGGTATCAGTGAGTGATAATCCCCTTGGCATTCAACGTGTTAATATAATTGTAGAAACTTTTGGGTACTCTCTGCAATGCTAGATATTTTTGTCTTTTCTTTCAATTCTAGCTTATTGTCAGTTTTTTTTAGCACATTGATCATCAAGTATTAGGTGTACATGAAATCCACAGAGTACAGCAAAATACATGGTTTAATTTAATTTAATTTTATTTTATGAAGAAGTTTATCCTATATATGCTATATTCGACAAAGGTTTGCCAATGATTTTATACGCTTATAAACCATAATTGTATTTTAACGTTCAATAGAGTACATGCATTCTCTGTGGCCCAATATCCTGTTTGCTTCGTCAAATAACGTACGCTCTTTGAAAATTCAGTGATCTCAATTTTGAACGAGTAATACGCTTTGATTGCTTCTCGCAATCCGTAAATAACTCGAATTTTGTAAACGTACAAATTTTCACGTGAAAATGTCAAAATACTAATTGTTTTTTGATCATAGATTATGCTGCACTCTCTGCATAAATATAAAACATTTCAAATATTTCAGTCCAAACTTAATTTTTCATTTTTTCAACAGAATTTAATTAAAATATACTTGATGTTAAATATTTTTAATTAATTCTCAATTTATTAGATTCAGTTAACTCTCGTACGGTGGACCATGAAGAGAGCTTCAATTTTAATTCAATTTTGTATTTTACATTATTTTCATTTTCTAAATTTCAAACTATTCTTTTAGATATTATTTGCAATTTAAAAAATTAAATGGCTATTTTTAATTCAAACATAATTGAACTTTTCATAGATCCGGGTCACGATTGACCTGGCTCCATCGTTTAAGGGTTAACGTTAATTTTCCGATTGAAAGTTTGATGAAAAGTTAAAGTTTAATTGGAGTCCGTATTTGATCAACTTTATAACAAGTACTCCACCTTATAAATTGAGAATTAATTTACAAAAGGGGTTCATGGTAAGCATGATTAGATTTGTTCTTTTTTGAATTCTAAACTGAAAGCATTATACATATTGTTTCTGTACTGCACAAAATTTCACTTTCTTACATAGCAATTTATCTGCTGTAAAAAAGGTCTGCTATTTGTCTTCAGTTTCGTCGAAATCGTGTGATGGAATGTTCAGTAAAAAACGAAAAGTACGAAATGAATATTTAACGATGCTTTGAATTTTACTAACGCTCATATTTTATTTGCTATGGTATTCACGCTTTTAAACGTTCGTTTTTCGTGCTATTGAAAAAAAAAAAAATGCAAATATTTCATTTTCGAGGAATATGAATTTCTACTGTTCAACGAGCCGTTTAAAACTTGCGATAAATGAAGTGAATGGAATTATTGGATAATGAGATGTTGATGTATTATTAATTCTTTTCAAAAAATATTGGAGCTTTTAAATTTGTAAACAAAATATAAAAGGTTAAAATTGTCCGAGTGCAAAGGGTTAATATTTAGTTAAACGATACTGGTGAACGTGCTTATTAAAGGATAAATACGAAAAGTTATGTCGTAGGTGGACATGTCGTGAAACAATCGAAAGCTCGTTTCGTTATTTAACGAATTAATATAGAACAGCAGCGTGTGTTTCGTAATCGTTGCATGCTGCACGATTCCCTCTAATTAATAAATGTTACACGTACGCAAATTCCACCATCCAGATATTGCGGAGCCTTGCTTGTCCTTTTTATTATCCTCCAAATATGTATAATTGTTGCGCCTGCGAGATCATTTACATTCTCTCCTAATTAGTCGCACTTATGTTATTGCATGACTTCAAGACCACAAGTAACATTACTTTCTTTACTATCATCTTGATACGTACGAGCTACAATGACTACAATGCGTTTAATAAATTTTATAATTTGTTTCTTGCAATTATTCATGTGTTGTCGATGTTTCCGTAGTTTTTTCTGTTCTTTTTTTCTTCTCTTTTTTGTCAGCTCTGCAATGTTAACCCTTTGCTATTTAATTTGTTAAAATTGTATCAAATACCCATTATTCTGAATGGTTGTACTTAATGAATAATATATTTATTAATAACACAAACACTGCGCATACAAAAATTATTATAAAAAAATAACGTATAAAGTAGCAAAGGGTTAAATATAGTGAAATAAGTGTTTTTTTTTAAATTAAATTAACTCTGACTGTCCCTGCGCTTTAAATTCAATTTAAGAAAAAAAAAGGAAAGAAGACTCTGTATGTTAGTAATAGTTCTAGAATACCATGAAAAGGCATGGTATTCTAGCGTGTTCGTTTTCACAGTGACAGTCAAAGTGTTAAAATACGTTCATGTGATTTTATTTGTTTCCAGCGTGAACGATCAGCGTTTCGCTAGTATTGTCGTAAAGTAATCGATTTTTCGTTCGTTCTCTACCGTCGGGAGAAGCTGCCTGTTTTGCATGCCTGCCTTTTGAATAGTTCTCTTGAATTTAACTGGTAGTTGAACGTGTTACGTTACACGAATGCCTGATTTTGTAATATGAAAAGGTCTGACACAATTTCATGACACAAAAGTTTTTCAAAATACTACTTATGGTATAGGTAAAATTAAAGCTTAAAGTTTACTGATAATAACTATATAACTAAAGGTTTTAAAAATATTTTTATTCTATATGAATTGGTCGGTTATTGAAAGATCACCTTATTTATAATACACCATATTAATGTAAATACACACCGTCGTGGATACATTGTGTACCTCGTTGTCGTTGATCAAGAACTGGTTAATTACATTGCTTAATTACAGGACTAACGGCAAGAAACTTATTTCTTCCGCTACATCCTCTTGAAAGTCTAAATAGTTTGCTGTATAATTTAAACGTAGACCTCTCGTTGTAGTTTCAAAACAGGCAAAACTTATAAACTTCGAAGGCTTAGATTTAATTGCCGTAATTAACCCGGCGATCTCTGAGGCCCTTAAGAACGAAAAATCGTTACATACAATTTGTTTGGATCCTTTTTTCGCTTGGATCTCTTATCTGTTGCAAAGTTCGGCCAGATGGCTGCATATATTTCCATGCATTATACCGCTGTATGGTTTTTTTGTTATTTAAATTCTGTTGTAATGTTCTTCTCTTTTCGCCGTGTTAAAAAGGTTACGTTGGACGCAAAGCTAAATTAAAAGAAAAAAGAAAAAGAAGTGCGCGTGTAATGTGATTTACTTTAAGTGAGACATGACTCTCTCTCTCTCTTTTTTTTTTTTTTAATCATTTACGCTCGAAAATTTAAAACAAAAAAATCCTGAATTTCAATGGAAAATCAGCGTCGATGGAATTTCCAGCTGGTTTCACCAGCTTCGAAATTTGCAAATGAATGTTAAATTGTTTAAAATAACATGAAAAATTGTTATTGGATAAAGACAAAATTAAGTTATCAAGTGTAAAGTGTTGAAATAAAATTTTAATGATGTATTTTTAAAAGATTTGGAATCTTTTTTGTTTTTCAAAATTCCATCGAAATTAGTGATTTTGTTGAAAAGTTAAATAAAAGGAAAAGGTTGCCAATGTCACATTCCACAGCGGGCTTCTTTTATGAATTAAATATATTTTTGCATTTGGTAGAAAGTGATCGTTGCCCGCTAGATCGTTTTCAAAGACCACTTACATCGTTTGCCTTTTTAAAAACGAAACACCTTCTCTTTAGATGACACCTGTCGATCCGACGAATTCACATGTGCAAATAAACATTGCATTCAACAATTATGGGTGTGCGACAATGACGACGATTGCGGGGATGGCAGCGACGAAAAGGATTGCAAACCGACCACCTGCCCTCCTGGAACCCATTTTGCCTGTTCGCAAAATTATTGCATAACGTCTAAATGGAGGTGCGACGGTGACTTTGATTGTCCTGATCATTTAGACGAAATTGGTTGTCAGGTAAAATCATACGGATTGTCGTTTTCATCTCAGAATTGTATTAGTATGTTATAAAATAAATTTTCACCTCCACCAGATTTTTTCCACCAACGACTAAACTTGGTATTACAGTAGTTTCGATTTCATAGATCCACATAAAAGGCCTTCGACAAGAATAAATATTAAAAATGGTTAAAATCACTCGTGTAATTCAAAATGCTTTTGATATTTTTAGGAATATGCAAACGGAAAACGTCCCAGTCATTGCAGTAAAAAGGAGTTTGACTGTGATGATGATATCACTTGTATACATCAAAATTGGGTTTGCGATGGTGACAAGGATTGTCCTAACGGTGCAGATGAATCACCACAGAGGTGTCACAATGTTACATGCAGACCTGATCAGTTTCAATGCGAAGATCATCATAATTGCATATCAGGTATTCCATTAACGCAGAGTTGGTATATTAAAAATCGTTAACTTATCAGCGTTAATTGAATTACTATTCTTCTACTATTATCTCACTATTTTTTCTTTTTTTTTTAATTTCATAAGAGTTATGTTCATAATGCATTTTAAATAAAAATGATTTAATGCAATTGAAAGATAAAAATTCAATATTTTCTGCTGTTATTTATTCAATAAAAGATACTCCTGTAATTTTATGACATAAAGCAAACATATTTTGTACATTTCACAACAGTTTCATAATATATTTTGTAAAATATTTTAGGTCATTTGTATTGTAATGGGAAAGCAGAATGCGCGGATGGCAGCGACGAGAAAAATTGCACGAGCAAAACTGTGACCTGCGATCCATTGACTCAGTTCGAATGCAGCGAAGGTTCCTGTATCCCGATTTATAATGTATGCAATAAAAATCGTGATTGCATCGGTTGGGAGGATGAGAATACGGAGCTTTGTGGTGTAAACGAATGCCTGAAAAACAACGGCGGATGTTCGCAAATTTGCATCGATTTACCCATTGGTTTCCTATGTAACTGCAGTGCAGGATACAGATTGGTGGATAACCGAACCTGTGATGGTAACATCACAAATTTATTAATCTAATAAATTTTATTTCTTAATAAATTCTTAATATTTCTTAATAAATTCTTATTTCAGACATAGACGAATGTCTAGAACCAGGTAGCTGTTCTCAGTTCTGTTTGAACGAAAAGGGTAGTTTCAAGTGCAGCTGTGCTCCAGGTTATCTGAAAGACCCTAGAGATCATACTCGTTGCAAAGCAGCCGAAGGTCATGCCAGTTTGCTCTTCACCAGAAGGCACGACATCAGGAAAGTAGCTTTGGATCGTCTGGAGATGACGGATATAGTGAAGAACACAAAAATGGCTGCTGCATTAGATTTTGTTTTCCGTACGGGCATGATCTTCTGGAGCGACACTAGTGAGAAAAAAATTTATAAGTAAGTATTTCTTTAACTCTTAATACAATCAATTTGCCATACAAGAATCAAGTAGATAGCTATTAATTTTCAAGTGTGGATGACTGTTATGCAACAAACCACTCTAGGGTTAAATAATTCAATTATTCCTCAGTTTATTTATTATATAATTCTTGTTCATTTCAGAGCTCCGATAGACGAAGGCAATGAACGTACAGTTGTCATTGACGATGGTCTAACAACATCAGATGGGCTGGCAGTTGACTGGATATACAGTCACATTTACTGGACCGATTCCAGAAAGAGTACCATAGAATTAGCTAATTTCGAGGGAAATATGAGAAAGACTCTTATACGAGATCGTATACAGGAACCCAGAGCAATAGCTTTGAATCCATTAGAAGGTTGGATGTTCTGGACCGATTGGAGTGGCGAGGCTCATATTGAGAAGGCTGGCATGGACGGTTCTCATCGAATGGTAGTTCTAAAATAATGAAATTAAATATCAATCAATTTGTTAAAAATTAGAATAAGACTTAAATGGAGTTATTTACAGGTCATTGTTGATAATGATGTGAAGTGGCCAAATGGACTGACTCTGGATTTGATAGGCAAGAAGGTATACTGGGTAGATGCAAAATTGAATATAATTGGATCCTGTAATTATGATGGTTCTGGTAGACGAACGGTTCTTTATTCTTCTGAAGTATTGAGGCATCCATTCAGTATTACAACATTTGAGGATTACGTGTACTGGACCGACTGGGACAAAGAAACGATATTTAAAGCGAATAAATTTACTGGAAAATCCGTGGTATCTGTCACGTCGCTTCGAACTTTTCAGCATCCAATGGTCGTTCACGTGTACCATCCATATAGGCAACCAGATGGGATGAACCAGTGTCAAGCAGTGAATGGACACTGCAGTCATTTATGTTTACCCGCGCCAAGAATTAATTCTAAATCTCCTCTTCTTAGTTGCGCCTGTCCAGACGGTTTAAGATTGTTACCTGATGGTTTAATGTGCGTGGAAAAAGGTAAAATATCTTTATAAATGATAATTATTCTTGACAAGCCATATGCACCATATGCACGTAGTCAAAAGAATGAAATTAAATCAGAAATATTTATGCATGCTATTGTAAGACAAAAATTAATGCTTATACAATAATATACATATGTAAGAATTATGAATAGGGCATGTTTCAAATTTTATTTTAATTTCATATTAATATATGATTTATGTTAAATTTTTTTTTATTTTCCATTATACAATTATTGCCTTGGCTTACGTTTATTATTTAATTATATTATTTTGCATCGGTGTTGCATGAATATGGGATATCCAGTAAGTACAACTGTAACACCTACAACGCAAGAAATTAGTAAACCATTCAAGAGACTTGAACCACTCAACGTTACCACTACAACTATTCGTGAGTATAATTGCATGACTTTATATTTTGTACAATCAATAGATTATAAATATTCATTTTCGTTTATCCATAATATTAATGATAACGTGGGAACTATAATACAAATAGGCGTATTTTACATCTATTAACTATTTAAAATGAACAAATAAGAATCTGATTATTTCTTTTTTTTATTTCTGGTATTTTGATTAATAATTTTCTTTTAGATCCAGCACATTCAGCGGATGGAGAAGGAAAGGATGGTCTTGCATCTCAGTCGACAGGTCCTGGCTTAGTTGCTGGTATAGTGATAGGCGTGGCGTCCTTAGGATTGTTACTCCTTGCATTCGTAGCAGTATTATGCTATAGGCATTATCTTCATCGTAATGTAACGAGTATGAATTTCGATAATCCTGTGTACAGAAAAACTACAGAAGATCAATTTAGTCTTGAGAAAAATAGGTTTCCACTCCCCACTGCTACAGTTGGAGAAGAGGTAATCATGCAGCAATTAAAATTGTATATTTTACAAGAAATAATTTCATTAATTGTACTGTATTAAGTGTGAAGATGTTTAATAATGTTTTTAATTTAATAGGCTCAGGAACCCTTAACGAGTCCTGGAACTAACGATTATGTTTAAGACTCAATCTGTCAATGAAACGGGCAACGAAGCAGGCTATTGAAACAATGTCGACCAAATAACGAAATCATGTATAAAAAAAAAAGAAGATGAAACCCATACACGTCGAACAAGCCTGTCCAATAATATGCCTGCGTTTGCCCGCCTGCCTGCCAACTCAGCTGTGATTATGTTTACTTTTTTTTTTGTACCGTGTCTCTTTATTTACAAATTTATGCATCTCGTCATACAAATATATTATACCTATGTGCAACATTTAGATTTGCTCAAAGGCATAAAGGGAGAAATATCTAGGTGAACTATAATATCGTTGCCAAATAAGCGTTGAAGCGTCGGTTTTTTCGAGTAGTTTAATAAGGTACAATTCCTATTTTATAATGTTTTTTTTCTCTTTTGTTTACTTACATAGCATGTAATATATATATATATATTACATACATACATACATACATACATACATACATACATACATATATATATATATAGTAGTATTTATCGTTCTACGTGGGGTCACGACTCAATCTATGTTTAATTCATATACATATATGTATATATATGTATATTATAAAGAGAGAATATTTTTTATCTACACGTAAGGTTTTTAACTTGTTATCGTTTCGCTATTTATTCTGTAAGAAATATAATTCTTTTTGATTATAATCTTCAGTTACATATTATTATATCATCGAAATCACATGTATATAACACACGAATTCAAAATATATCATAGAAATAATTTTACAATGAATTATTAACAAATGTTTTGCGAATTTGTTAAATTACTTATAATAACTGTTTTAATCGTAACATTGTGAAATACTTTAGACTGCCAAAATGGAATGTTTTAGAAATTTATTAATACTCTGTAGTAATAGGAATTCGTTCCTAAAATATGATCGTCAATTTTCTTTCAATATCTTCTAGATTTATGAATAGCAATATTTAATCCCAGTAATGCAGCTGAAAGCAGTTGCGTTTGAAGCATGTAAATGTTTAACTTGTGTTTTGTACATTGAAAGTAAATTTCTCCTTTTATGTCATTTATAAGAATACACATAACAAGCAGTGTTTTCTCGCACGTTCACAGAATTTTTTAATAGTCATCTCACATAGGTGGCCCGTATCATAGTGAAATCACTTCTCCCATAGATACATTTTGTTTAAACATTACGATTGTAACGAAATAGATTTCAAAAACCGACTAGATGTACTAAGATCAGCTCAATGACACTAAGAGTGACTGTGTGTCTGTTAAAAGTAAAACTGTTGTTTAGGTATTTCAACCTCTTAAGAAAAAGATCAGTGTATGTGTATAGAATTACTGCCTCGGATTTAAGAGTTTTACTTATTGCATATACTTTATGATTAATGAATTAAATAATTCAATGTGAGACAGACATTCTTCTAGATAAGATTATTAAGAAATATAATATTAGGACAAGCTAGATGCCGTGTATATTAATAAGTAGCAAAAGTATATGTTACAAATTTTAATTTAGATAACTTCAGTTTTTAGAGTAATGAAATTATTTATATGGATTTATATTATTTACATTCAAAAATTGTGTTGAAAAAAAAATGGAATGAATTACTGTTGATTATAGAAACAATTTGTTGTTAACAAAAACATATTATTTATTATATATATGTACAGTTTGTTTTTCAAATATTTCATTATACATTGTACATACATTTTTATATTATTAGTTTGTTAAATGATGGCTTTTATAAACTGGTAAATGCAAAGGTTTGCTACTTTTTAATAAGACACACATTCTTACCGATGAGTGAAAGAAAAGCAAAGTCCAAAATTAAAATATAGAGGCTCGGTGGTGATTTTAATCAAAAGATAGCAAGAGTGTGGTGAGTATTAGTTGCAATTAATTGTGTGAGTCACAAGGCATAAACTTAGCCAATCTGTTCGCCAAAATCGTGTCAAACATTATTTCTATGCAATATATATTATCACTACACATGCATAATATAAATATATATATTATATATATAATTTATTATAATGATTATTGTATAAATAAACATATAAAATAAATCACACTATTCCGTCATTATTATTGTACCTACAACAAGTGTAAAATATATAATTTGTAAAAATGTGGCTTTAAAATATAGCTTAATTAACTGTTTTTCTGAGTTATAAATCATTTGTGAAAGTTCAGGATATTTTTGAATTTCTCTCCAACCAAAAGTTACAGAGGTTTCAATTTATCTATAGAAAGTCTATGGGTTGCACATTTTAATAATGGGTGCCCTGATACCCCAGATACCATACTGTCGGTATACCAAGAGCGTCGTCTTGCCTCGGGGTTCCTAACACCCCAAGATATTAGAAAGCGCCACCAATGAATCGGGGTCCTCGGTACCCCGAATGCTTCACCTACATGAAGCTAGCCGGAAGGAATAATATATGATTATTTTTAATTTTTCTTAGTGTATTTCGTTTGTAAATCGTTTGTGAGTGAATAAATTTTTAATTATTCACAACTTTGTTTTATAATAAATAGTTGTAGTGCGCATTGGATACAGATCGGGTCGTACCCATCACTACCTCAAACAAGTCTGTTTCACGATTTGTTCGTTTTTCGTTCTTATATTTCGCTAGATCCGGTCAAACCCATCACTACCCCGAACAAGTGAGTTTCACGATTTGTTCGTTTTTCGTTCTTATATTTCGCTAGATACGGTCAAACCCATCACTATTCCGAACAAGTGAGTTTCACGATTTGTTCGTTTTTCGTTCTTATATTTCGCTACTTGCTTCGGGTTCCTGAGAACCCCAAAACTGTATTCTGGGATCCTGAGGACCCCAAGATGGAATTCTGGGATCCTAAGGACCCCAAGAATGTATTCTGGGATCCTGAGGACCCCAAATTGTATTCTGGGATCCTGAGGACCCCAAGAATGTATTCTGGGTGCCCGAGGACCCCAAGATTTCATTCTGGGATCCTGAGGACCCCAAATTGCATTCTGGGTGCCTGAGGACCCCAAGAATGTATTCTGGGTGCCTGAGGACCCCAAGAATGTATTCTGGGTGCCCGAGGACCCCAAGATTGCATTCTGGGATCCTGAGGACCCCAAATTGCATTCTGGGATCCTAAGAACCCCAAGAATGTATTCTGGGTGCCCGAGGACCCCAAGATTGCATTCTGGGATCCTGAGGACCCCAAGATTGCATTCTGGGATCCTGAGGACCCCAAGAATGTATTCTGGGTGCCTGAGGACCCCAAGAATGTATTCCGGGATCCCGAGGACCCCAAGATTTCATTCTGGGATCCTGAGGACCCCAAATTGCATTCTGGGTGCCTGAGGACCCCAAGAATGTATTCTGGGTGCCTGAGGACCCCAAGAATGTATTCTGGGTGCCCGAGGACCCCAAGATTGCATTCTGGGATCCTGAGGACCCCAAATTGTATTCTGGGATCCTAAGAACCCCAAGAATGTATTCTGGGTGCCCGAGGACCCCAAGATTGCATTCTGGGATCCTGAGGACCCCAAATTGCATTCTGGGTGCCTGAGGACCCCAAGAATGTATTCTGGGTGCCTGAGGACCCCAAGAATGTATTCCGGGATCCCGAGGACCCCAAGATTGCATTCTGGGATCCTGAGGACCCCAAATTGTATTCTGGGATCCTGAAGACCCCAGAATGATAACAGGGGTTCTCAGGACCCCTGGGACGTTAACCGGGGTTCTTGGCACCCAAAGAGGATACTCGGGGTCCCTGAAACCCCAGATACCATAATGTCGATATGCAAAGGGAGTCATTGGTGCTTCGGCGTCCCTGACACCCCGGATAATATCAGGACCGTATGAAGGGGGCACAACCAGTTTAAGTTTTTTCCAGAGTTTATTTAATTTACCTCATTTATTTTTTTTTGCTTATTAAATAAACTCATCAAATCGGATAACATTTATGATTATATCTCTCTTCTGGGTCCCAGCCGAGGACCCCATTTATTTTACTTTTTCCAGTTATTTATATAATTTTATCCCTCATTATAGGCCGAGGCCGTCTCAGTAGCCCTTACATCCCTGCATTCCTTCCATCGCAGCATTCCTTCCATCACAGCAATCCTTACATTCCTGCAACCCGTAAATACCCATTCTTTTTTTTTTTTTTTTTTTTTAACGTGGTGGAAATCTTCAGAAAGACACCTTCAGCCCCCCTGGGGAGGGGCCGAAGGTAGTGTGGGATTTTTACCCACTAAAACCACCACGGTGGCCTGCACTAGGGCAGGAGAGGGGGGTCCTTTGACCCGCCGCCATGTGCCAAACTCCGCTGACATCGGGGGCCACACCCGATGCCGGCACTCCTTAGGCCGGCTGCAGTGGAGACCGGGGCCCCTGCCCCGGACCCCTACGGGTTTCCTTTACATCGCTCGTTCCGTTACATCGCTGCATCCCTTACATCCCTACATTCTTTTCATCCCTGCATTTCTTACATCGCTTCATCCCTTACATCCCTGCATTCTTTTCATCCCTACATTTTTTTCATCCCTGCATCCTTTCCATTCCTACATTCTTTTCATCCCTACATTCCTTTCATCCCTACATTCCTTTCATCCCTACATTCCTTTCATCCCTACATTCTTTCCATCCCTACATTCTTTCCATCCCTACGTTCCTTTCATACCTACATTCTTCTCATCCCTACACTCCTTACATCTCTGCATCCCTTATAATAAATATATTATAAAGACTGCATCGAATAAAGGTAAGTAAAGGTAAGTAAAGGTAAGTTAGTACCTTTTTTCGCCACCAGAGGGCGCTGATTCGACGTCGAAATTTTAGTTCGCCTTTTTCCCGCTAGAGGGCCAAAATTTGTGCAAGGTTTAGTTCCCTTTTTTGAAACCAGATGGCGCTGATTCGACGTCGAAATTTTGGTTCACATTTTTCCCGCTAGAGGGCCAAAATTTGGGTAAGGTTTAGTTCCTTTTTCTGAAACCAGATGGCGCTGATTCGACGTCGAAATTTTAGTTCAAATTTTTCCCGCTAGAGGGCCAAAATTTCGACATGGTTTAGTTCCTTTTTTTGAATCCAGATGGCGCTGATTCGACGTCGAATCAGCGCCATCTGGATTCAAAAAAAGGAACTAAATTTGTATAAAATCAAACTCAATTTCAGGGAGGTACTGGGATGTATGGAATGCAGGAATATAAATGATACAAGGATGTAAAGGATACAGGCATGTAAGGGATGCAGGGATGTAAGGGATGCAGGGATGTAAGGGATGTTGGGATATAAAGAAGGCAGGAATGTGAGGAATGCAGAGATGTAAGGAATGTAGGGATGAAAAGAATGCAGCGATGTAAGGAATGAAGGGATGTAAGAAATGTCGGGATGTAAGGGACCAAGGAATGTAAGGGACCAAGAGATGTAAGGGATGTTGGGATATAAAGAAGGCAGGAATGTAAGGAATGTAGGGATGAAAAGAATGCAGCGATGTAAGGGATGAAGATATGTGAGGAATGTAGGGATGAAAAGAATGCAGCGATGTAAGGGATGAAGAGATGTAAGGAATGTCGGGATGTAAGGGATAAAGAGATGTAAGGAATGTAGGGATGAAAAGAATATAGGGCTGAAGGGAATGTAGGGATGAAGAGTTCCACTAGTATTTTAAATAATAAAGATAGAAGTTTCAAGATAAAAGTAATTCTGTAACTTTATTAACAACATCAGGATGACAAAGTGCATTGCTCGGGGGCAATATTCAGAAAGCGCCACCGATGCATCGGGGTCCCTAACACCCCGACGATATGCAGAAAGTTGGATAAGGATTAAATTACAATTATCTAGGAAGATAGAGATAAAGTTTCATATACATTTTCAATACTTTATTCATATAATTTTGTAATTACGACATTATGTCTATGTATTTACATGTTTCCAATTGTTCAAGATATTTTGTAATGCGTGTCTGTGCGCGCACTACCATATTACTTATTGTATGCATCTGTATGCGTAGGTGTGTGTGTATTATGTGTGTATGTTGTACAACGTATTTTCATTCTTTCACTTTATTTAAATTTTATTTCTGGTTCCTTCCACTCATGTCCTGTATGACATAAAATGCTATGCGAATAAAATCAAAGAAATTGCGAATTGTTTGCGTGGATCGTGTTGTATGGTATCGAAGACTTGCGCGTTTATTAATTCGGAATTCTAACGAAACGGCATAGGAGGTTCCGCTTTGACGTATAAAAAATCTAAATGCATCACTTTTTTATACTACACTCGTATTTCATATTTCGCATGTAATAGAGCGAAATTCGTATCCCGTTCATTAAAAATGCATCGAGTTAAATCAATTTGATCGGTTTTCTTATCATGACAGGTTACATTTTCTTTTTCTTATCATTTTTTCGATATACGCGCTCGAATTCAAGTATACGTACACACACGTATACATATATGTATATTAAGAGTGTGCGGATAATCGAGTGTGTCGAGTATCTTGTCGGTCGGATTGACTCGGAAGAAATCAGACGGGTTCGATTCCTATAATAGGGTAACCCAATAAATCGGCTATCCGTTCAAATCTATCCGACCTCTTCCGATACGACCCGACCCGACCCGAGCCTACCCGACCTGAACGCGATTCGAGGTCGACATATTTAGGTAGCCATCCGAAACTGCCCGACATCTTCCGACCCAACCCGAAGCCGACATTTCAAATACCTGTATATCTCCAATATACATAGATGTAAAAATCGAGAAACAGCGTATTAAAGAACAAAAATATCCGCGATTAGCTGTCGATCCTAGAGTTCCACAAAAGGTTTATTGCTAACACCGTTTCAGCTTTTTTATTCGCTTTCCTTCCATCTCCGTTTTTTTCACAAACATGTTTTTACTATCTATTAATTTAATAGGTTTTAGTGCGTCCATACGTATAGACTGTACAATGTAAAATATAATTCCATCTAGCTATAGCAACTTCTAGATACAATTGTGTGAGCTTATTTTCCTATTCTTTTCATTTTTTCTCTGTGTATTAATCGACTTTCTGTTTTTCGCCTGTACACGTTCATACACACTTACGTTACTTGGTTTCTTCTATTTTCTGATTTTTCGTTTTCTTTTCGCTAACACTTTCTCCGTTGCCGCACTACGTATATGTATATGTATGTATGTATGTACATAGTTTAGTTTTTGGTAGGATGTTACCCGCGACACACTTAAGTTCAAGATTTAATGCGTTACGTTAATTAGTAGAGTAACATTTTTGCTCGGTAAGATATCGTATTTAAAAGTTAATTAATTTAGTGTAAACATTAGTCGTCAGTACATCGAAGGATATGCAGATAGAGAGTTTGGAGGGCAGTGATAACAATATGTTCACGTTTCTCGTTTGGATAAAAATAGGTAAACACGTGTTTCTTTTTTATAATATTCGTTCGTTGTCACCCATCGAGTTGGAAAAATTATTCATCAATTATTTTTATATTCTTGAAAAATGTTATTTGTTTTTTTGGGTCTTCACATTAATTCCAATTTGCATGCGATATCGCGGGACCAATAATGTACGTGTTAGTAAGAGGGTAGATATAAATAAGAAAATTTGATATTATTTCTTCTTAACAGATATGAGATTTTATAGACACTTTGGTGGAGAATCGAAAGGGAAAATTATTATATTTCATTTAATTTTTTCCTGGAAGATTTTAGACAATTATTTTAATATTCCACTTAATATTGGAGAGAATTATTTTTGTACCCTATTTAACTTTCGTTTTGAACACTTTTTGTATTTCCAGCATAACTTTTTTTACTTTTCTTTATTTTGGAAAATAAAAATAGTATAAAAAAGGTTGAATATTTTTTGGACATTGTTTCAAGAAACACAAGAAATATAGGATAAATTGGGGTTGCAAAATTAATTTCCAAAACAAAAGAAAGAATAATTCGTGGCTCTTCTCTATCCATTGAAGAGGAATTAATTCAATATTTTTAAAAGTCAATCAACAGTGTTTAATGACATCACACGAAATGCAAGTATATATGAAAAATAAATATCAATATTTAATAACTAGACTTTGATTAAGCAAGTGTTACACTAAAAGATGTTTCATTTTTTCTCCTACGCAGACAAACGACAAAGGTTTCTTAACGAATACCAATTTTTTACTTTCATCGATTTTACAATTGCAAAACCGTTTCTAATACTTCACTGATTTTTCATAGGGCGTATATTAAACAGAATCGTGTGTACAGCGATATCGTTAAGACTGCCCGCTCAACTTTAGTTACGTAAATATTACAAAAAATCCACATCGACTTATCCTTTTATAGCCTACGAATGATTCTCGATGGATGAAGACTTCAAAATCCAGGATCATAGATTATTGTGCCATTTATTTTCATTTGAAGCGTCGGTGTGTAATTATAATAACTAGTGATCGATAGAAAAACGAGGAGAAAACAAAGCGAAAAAGTCGCCTGGAGACGAACACTCGTGGCATCAATTTTAATCGGCGAAACTCTACGTGTGGATCCATCAAGCTCTTGTGCGATTAAGAATACAGAGTTCGATACATTTGGAAAGGAAAAAAAAAAAAAATTTTCACACGTCTTCCTTTGTCGTAATTTTTGTTGAAGAATTCCTTTGTCTCATTTCGTTTGTGACCTTTGAACACCACACGATCATAATCTCTTCTTTGTAACGTCGTTTCGTCGATTTCTTCCATTGGTCATAACGAGATCGTCGAATAGTTTTTATTCTGATATGCGTGTTAGATCGTTCAGACTTAACGAAATTTTCATTGATTGAATCGCTTTAATTATGCTTCCCTGAGAGCCGGTACTTCGAAACGATTCTTTTTCCTCCTAATATTTTTCATCCTGTAATTGATCTGCGCATTTAAGTATTTAATTTTCTATAGAAAGCTATTCGAATTCCATCGAAGCGTACATTAAAGAGGGAAGAATTTCTTATTAAATTTCAAGATAGAGAAGCTCGAACGACGGGTAAAGTGATATAAGTATTAATTCGAGTCTGATAGTATTTTCATCGGCGTGTCTGGTGAGGTTCGTTCGAGTCGGTAATTTCGGCAATTGAACCATTATCTTTGATCATTTTTAAGTGTTAATCGAACTAACGGTGATAAAAGTTACGTAGAGTCGCGAATTGCAACGATTACGAGGAACGAATCCGCTCGTTAGCGAGCCCTGTGTCTCGAGTCAGACTTTCTGTAATTAATGACGAGAAGCAAAATCGGATACGAGAATTTTGCAGAAACTTTTTACGAGTTCTTTGAAGAATTTACGCATGGTGTTCCTCGAAGTTTATCTCTAATCTACCTTTTCTATTTGTAATACACAACTTATACAGGATGTTCGACAATAGGTGGGACAAATTTTAAGAGATGATTTTGGGAATCAAAATACAGTCACATCCAATAAGTACTAAAATCCCACTTGGCGAGCTTCCAATATTTAACGATTGTTGGCTGTGACTGTACACGCCCCTTCTGATACGACGTTCAATCGTCGCTGCTGTACAACAGATTGCCGGTTTCAGGCGCTTTTCACTAATATTTTTCAATATTAATAACTAAAGAACAAAGCCGTGAACGTTATTTTGTCATTCTTGATTTTCGTCTTATTTTCACCTCCAGAATCATCTCCTAAAATTTGTCTCACCCTTCGTACGCTATATCAATTTTAACTTATGTTCAACTTATCCTCTTTTTCAAATTTCTTCCCCAATTTTTATAGAAAACGTTCATAAAAATAGATAGTTCGAGGAATACCGAATTCTAAGCATATTATAAAATATTTGCAAGCTTATAATTCTTTGAAGATGAAGAATTTATATATGAAGATTTGAATAAAATCACAGCTGTCCATAAATTTATATATGTATAAGTCTCCTTATTCTTTTAACAAGAATGAAAGCTATAAGAGTATTTGCTTCGAAGAAAATTTAAGGACTGATTTCCATTGCAACAATCATTGGAATAGTGATAACAATAAGAAGATTCTAACCTAGGCAGACACGCGTACAATTTTGATATTCAACTGATATTCTGTCTAAATCAGTGCTGTTCTTCGCCATGCGTATCTGATATGTTTAACATTAATAAATTATTGTTTACAAGATGAAAATTATGGGATTTTTGTAAACAATTAATTCGATGGGAGCATTGTTTCGTATGATACTTTAAAGTATTTAAGTACTTAAGTGTTAAAAGCATTAATATTAATTTTTAGTTTTGTTGAAATTAATCTTAGAAATGGTACTAAAATATAAAAGTGTAATTAAGATAAAATAAGATACGTGCGAAGAAAATCAGCATTAATTTTGACTCTCGTTGGAAATCAGAGGATACATCGAGCAGAGTGATACGAAAATATATAACAATTGTATTCGTCGGGTTTAGAGGAAGCTCTGTTGGATGCAAGCTTATCCTTGTTTCAAAATTTGAAGGAAGCCTCCAGACAATTTCGTAATAGGTAGAAGACGGAGCTATAAAAAAACAGCTTCGGATATTCGCCGGTATAATTAACCCTTTACACCCTTTCCTTCGACGACTAACGTTGTAATTGTAATTTTTTTACTTTTAGATATTCATACAAAAAATGGCGGTGTCCCAGATTTTTGGTAACAAAATTCATTATGTAAAAATTGGATAATAAATGAAAGTTTGATTGTGCTTATTCACTATTAGTTGGTAATGATACTCGTTTCAAAATATGGTCTTTGAAGTTTCTGGGAATTTTGTATGACCATAGATCTATATCTATTATATTACAACTCCCCATATACAATGTATAAAAATTGAAAGTTTTGTTTAATTGTTCATAACAAAATGTTTATTACCTATAAAACAAGCTTCTGTATTTTGTTGAGAAAAACCTGGGGCACCCGGTGTGTCTTGTTTCATACGTATACAGTAAAATTGATCAATCTTCAAACTCGATTTTCTCCAAAATGAAACCTCGAACAAAACACAGAATCGAATAGAATTACAGAGGCGTGAAAGGGTTAAGTACCGGTCAAAGGTAGCTCGTTTCATTTTGGCAATACTTGCGTTTCACATCCTGTGTATACGTGTAAGCATCTCTGCGTATGTCTACGTGTCACTACTCGACAGCGTTCATCGGGTTTAATTATCCTTACCTCACGTTCCACGTGAACGTGTTATACCTTAAGATTAATAAATAACACCGACGTGTCACATATCCAGTTCGCTCACGGACTCTCTTTCACGCTCCACCATGCACCCACGTAACATGTACACTTAATTCTCCTCCATGTTGTGTTAATAAAATCTATAATTTAATAAACAATTTACACGCGTAACGTAATCGATAAATATCGCGTATGTATATTTATTTCTGTGTGTGTGTGTGTGTGTGTGTGTGTATGTGTGTGTCATTTCTTTGGGGGAATTTCATTTTCTTCTATACAACAATGATTTCATTAAACGCTAGATAGGATCATCATTCGTGTGATACTTTCGTCCTTATTGTTAGTTCCAACACTTTCTTACGCGCATATAATTGGACTATGCAAAAATGTTTCAACGAAAGCACGTTTGATCCTCGAAATACGGCGCGGCTCGTATGTATACAGTAAACGACGTTACGTTGCCACTTGCTATATAGCCTCTCACTATATTACCACATACGACAAATGCGAACGCTTTCTTTATATATTGCCAATTCCATTTTCCGCCCCTACAGTCCCGCTCCCGGCAAGATAACTAAAGTTTACTGTATTTAGAAGAAAGATTCAGCGACGACGTGACCTAAAGAAGATAATAAATCTTTCATATACAATGAATATAATACACAACTAACAATAGATAATAACAAGGAAGAAGTTTGATTTCACTTGATTGCGAGAGTTGACGATCTCGCGACGCCTCTTCAGGAGGATGCGACCGTATTTCGAGGATTTAGATTTCGTCGCCTACGAGGTCGCGTCGGAAAAGTGCTGGAAATAAACCGGAGCGTCGAAGAGTCCCATTTATCTTCGTTTGATGCGCATCAGTTACGGGGGCAAAACGGGACATTACGCGTCCCGGTTTGCGTTTCCGAATATCGCAACGCAGCACATAATCATACCTATTTCCGGACAGTTTTGTCTCAACCATACCCAATACCTAACATCGTCTCTTTTCAACCTTATCTCTTCCGTCGAGGGTATCGGATATGCTCAATCTCAAAGAAGAATCACTTTGATCTAGCGACAACCGTTCTCCATAATTCATGAGGAAACGGAAGCCGCGTTTCACTGTTCCCGGAGCAGACCATTAGTCCGCGAGCAACACCATTAACGGGTCCGACAGGAATTACTAACACAGCACCGACGAAGGACCTAAGCGAGACTCACACTGGTTCGTCGAGTATTTATATCTGGACACCTGGCACGAGGTTCAAGAACGCGTGCGAAACGCGCACCTCAAAGACCGGCCATCTCTACACGTACCACTCTTTGATATCTACCAGTTCTCGTTTCTTGTTGGTTTTGCTACCGTTCGCGCCGTTTTTCAGGGCACCGTTGAACGGTTGCCCGGAACAGGTCGCACCCAGCAGTGCCGCGTTTGGATCTTGACAGAAGTTCTTCGTCTCGTCCACCTTGTAGCTGGTTTCCGGACGATTCTTGAACTTGAGGATGATCAAAATGATGAGAACGATCGCGATCAACGCCGCGGCTATGATACCTATTATCAGAGCAGCGTTCTCCGCTGCCTCTGATGTTATCCTTTTATTGTTGTTGTTGTTCTTTGGCGGTGTAGGCATCGGAGGATACATTGGGGGTGGCGGTGGCGGTGGCGGGTCCGTCATCTCTGTGGTGGTCGTCTGAGTTGTTACGCTCGTCGATCTCGGCGTCACGACGCTACTGTAATTGTTAAAAGGTCATTTAGAGAATTTTCCAATGGAATAGTAAATGAAATAGAATTTGAATCGCTAACTCTCCATCCCCCCCCCCGGTGGGGCTAAAAGGATTAATGAATTCGTCTATTAAGACTATTCAAAATCTTTTATTGCGATAATTAAAAAACTAACATTTTACCCGTAATATTTTATCAATATGTGTAATAATAATTTAAATATTATCATATTTATTTAAAAATAAAATGAAATAATAAGGTAGAAATAATTTCAGATCGATTAATTCAACCAGTAATTAAATTACACAGTAAATTTACACAGTAGACTGAATTAATTAACGATTATTATTCTTAGTTCTTCTGTCAATCATTGAATAATCACTGAAGTTATTTTTAATCCCCTCGTATTTAAAGTATTAATTTCTAAAATCAATAGCAGAGTTCACCATAAAATTATAAAATCGTTAAAGGATACAAATTGAAATGCACGATTCTGACAACAGGAATTAAAATCATTAAAACGTTTAATTCCTATTTAAATCGGTGAACATATTGGGAAAATTAATGTTGGATTTCAATTCAAACTTTAACCTCATTATGAGATTAAAAGAAATCCAATGGTTGTTTTGTATAATTAAGCCGGATTTTAACAACCATGAAACTACTCGTAAAAGAGTTAGAAATTTAACAACAAACTGAAAACGAATACTTTCAATTATTTAAATTTCTACATATAAAATAAAGTAAAACTTTTTCAAAGAAAATAAACATCCCCCCACATTACCTTCTCACAATTAACTACCATCAACCTAAACAACCACTAAAGCGGACGTAAGTATAGAGAAGAATGAAGTTAAGAGAGAAGAATAATTATGTCGATTGAGCGGCACTCTAGACGGAAGTGAAAGAGGGTACACGAGGGTAACAAGAGGCAGGCGGTGAGCAGTAAATATTCAACGTCACCGCGGGGTGTCCGAGCGAAACTGACAAACTCACCTGGCGTGGCTGGTTTCGAGGTCTGTGGTTGACACATTGTACTGGAGAGAAACGGTGACGATGTCCCGGGTCGATGTGGACGGCGAGCCTGGAGACGTTTGCGTGCTGATGTGGCTGGTCGTGTACTCGCGGGCTGTCGTGTACGCCACTGAACTGGAATCTGCTCGAAGAAAAAGGGAAAAATAATTAAGCGTCAACCGGCTGCTGCAATTACCTATATACGATTGGCTACAGGGGACGAGGTGCTTCCAGTAACGTGCTACCGACAATATTTACGCGTGCGTAGGCCGGCGATATTCACGCGTGCGTGGGTAGCCACGTTGCGAGCAGCGACGGAGAAGGGAGCTGTGTTTTCTCGCTTCCAGGAACGTGCGTTTTACCCTATCGTTGCTAAACATTGTCGCCGAAAGGAGTGAGAGTATAATTGAATTAACATAATGCTGTAACGTTATTACCGAATAGAAACGCGACGACGATTCAGTTCTTTTGTTCTTTCTTTAGGAATTTAATTAGGATATTACAGATAATTTTGTAATATCATCAAGGCTTGATAAAAGTTTACCAAATACCTACAAAGAAGTCTGTGTTATTCTAATAGAACACGCGAGGTGTATAAACCTTGCTTTATGATGTTCACCATCGATTTGGGGTTGAACTAGTTACAATATGTCTACCGGGTAAGTTCATTAGCCGAGGAGGATTTGTCGATCGAAGCGTGTGGTCTCTTTAAAAATAGCACGTCCAAATGAGGATGCATTTTTTAAATTATTATACTAACAATAAAAATATAACGAGGGTTATTAAAAGTTAATAGAACTACTATGAATAAAATTTCATATTTTGAAATGATAAATAAAAGGAATTAAAGAATATTAAAATTCGACACTTTTAATAAAGCTACTAGGGGCCATGGCTATCCCTAAAAGAATTCTAGCTATGCTGGATATGCCTGGTTAGGTGCATTAGAGCAACCAATCATATTATAATTGAATATCGAGAATAATTTCTTTTTAAAAAAGCGTTACAATTAAAGGGTTATGTTGATCGAAGAAAAAGAAAAAGAAAAAGTCGTACAAGTGTTGAAAATACTGGAACCGTATGAAGGCGGTGTGTGCACTTACACTTGTTAGTAGGAAGTGAACGAGAATAAAGCGTTCCGTTCCCCCGGGGAAGATCAATACGACGGGTGGCGTGTTCGCTGGTGGAACACATCAAGATCGGGTGCGATGAAAAAAAGATAAAGTTAAAGAGAAACGAACCAGTTGCTGAAGTGACGAAGATTTCCTCGGTGGTGACGGGCTCGCCGGATCCTTCTCCGCAGTCCTCCTCGTCGTCGCACGAAGGACGTTCTTGGATGTTTTCCTTGTGATGTTTCGGTCTGTAGGTCGTCGGCGACCTCGTCGGGGCGACGTAAACTGGCGTTATTATGTCGTCTGCGAACAGACAGAGGATCGTGATTATTCAAATTGCGTGGTGTGCATAATTTCCGTATGATTGCATGGTTTCCAGGGGCACGATTTGCGTCATCGCTTGTAACGGGAAACGAAAATGCGGTTACCACCAACACGGTGGCCCATCTACCGCCGATAATGGAGATAGAATGCGCGTTTGATTGGTGCATTTTCCACCACCGAATGATATCAACCCCGCTGCTCCTCTTCGAAGGGAATGCAACCTATGTTTGCTTTTCAATTAACCATTCCCGGATGTGTCTTTAATTCACTAATGCTAAGATTCTTTTTCACTTTAAGTAACGGTATGTAAAGTACTTTTATTAGAATATAAAACGAAAAATGAAAAATGAAAAATGAAATGTCATAAGTATTACTCTATTTTTAATATTGAAATTTATTATATATGTAACAAAAAATAATAACTTTTTTTCATAAGTAATAAAATTTAAAATTTAAAGAATTTTGTATTTTCTCTAAATCACTATTTATTTTTATAAAACATCATCTACCCAAAATAGCTACTCGATGATAGTTCGCTTTAGTCCCGCGTATTAGTTTATTAAAGGGATCCTCCTAATTTGGTTTTTAGTCAGCCGGAGAAGATTTCTAAACCGGCTGTCAGAGAAAGCGAGGAGGTCGATGGTTAGGTGAAAGGAGGGGCGCCAAGGATCATCCTAAATATGCAAATGAATCGAAGATACAACTGGGTAAACATGAAGACGAAAAGGTGGCATGCCATGCGATATGCGATATGCGATACGCGATATGCGAACCCAACCCAATCGTCGTGCGTGCTTGTGTTCCCTGTTCTTACACTAAATATTATTTTACACTAGCTACTATTTAAAATACTTTTATTATTAAATTTGTAATGTCAGTCACGATTGACATTTAAGGCATTCAATGTATCAAATATAATCAGTTATTCGTCAATAAATATGATTTCTTATTAATAATGTAGTGTATTAAATAGTATAAAAGTTAATTATTATTTATTTTGTTTATCGAAAAAAATGTGGTAAGAGCCGTCATGGACGGCAGTGCCTTACCAATTTATATGTGTTTCCATCCTTGTCTAGGGGAGTGCTAAACGTCTCTCCTTTCATACTACACAACGGTATACTGCAGCTCGCGGCTTTATATACGAACTGACTAGTAAACCGACTACTAGCGAGAAACCATTTATTCGCGAATAACTCAGAAATTCTTGGTCCAATCGTAAAACTGTAAAGACAATTTTTATATAATTTCAGAAGAACTATCGAATGGTATAACTTTCAGGGTGGTTTATTTTATGAAAATGTTTGGCTATATTTATATGCAGCATGTCGCGACAGTGAGATATAGATATACGTTTACTATGGCCATGTAACGATAATTATTATTACTATTGTTCTTTTAATATTTTTCATGCGATTGTAACACATCTATTTCGTAAATAAAATATATATCGAGAATTAATCCGATGCAATTCTTCTAATCAATTAATTTGTTAATCACGTAATAAATATTTTTTTAATTAATTAATTCAAAATGATTTTTGAAATACGTTCACACAACGTGCACGTAAAATAACCATACGTGCGAGACGTGAAAATAGGTGCAAGAAATTCCTCCGCGAGGAAACGTGCAGAAGGAATTACTTACGCCCTTTGAAAATGTTACTTACACTTACCGGAACCAGGCTCATAGATCGGAGTGCATTCTACGTCCTCGTCGTCGGCGACGCAACCACTTCCGGCGCCAGAAAATATGAGATCGTCCATAACACCCGGAAAACCGGACGCAGGCGTCTGAATGAAAAAAAGATATGGAAATTTATGGTGTTAGTTGAATCTAGAATCTGAATAAAAATTTGAATTTTCAATCTCTTTGTATAAATGAAATAGTTAAGCATTTAATAAATTGAATATATGTATAACCATCGAACAATGGACAAATAAATAGTCTTAGCTTTAATTACTTGTTGCATTCTCTGTAACGGAGCTGCCCGATCCAAAAGGCTTCCAACCGGAAGTAATTGAACGTCGCCTCTGGTAGTAATTCTTCCATCCTTTGCGGCAGCTAATTCCAAAATTCGTGCACCGTTCACAACGAGACCGGCAATTATTCCTAAAAATGGCCTCTCCACTCTTCCTTTGTTGCGATTCCATCGACCACCGACTTGAATGGTCGATTGGTAATTGAACACCGTCAACTGACGACCTGTAACAAAACAATAAACATTGTTAGAATAATCATTCTTATTATTTTCATGTAGTTTGTTTAAAATACATCAGATTCCATCGTCGAGAAATAAATAAATTACACGGGGGGTCAGTGAAGAATAGTTTTCTTCACCGTCTGACAAATGTTTTCGTTTGACCATTGATCAGGCGAGCAGCAGTTACTGGGTCTGACACAGATAACCGTTGACCACTTGCCCAATGTCTACCTCGAAGGAAGATGGGAGCGAAAGTGGTTTACACTGTCTCCCCTACTCCTTCGTACGGGTTTCCTTCGAGCCCTTTCCCTTTGTACGGTCTAAATTTGGTTGGTTTTCAGAGCAGGCAAACATGATACCAGTGGAACTCTGTAGGGTTTGATCTGCCCTACGATTTTAAATAAATCTACCCTTAAATATTGATTTGATCTTCAGATGCATTTACTCTGTTTAAATTCCTAACTTAACAATTACTAAATTAACTTAAAACCACTCTTTCAATCATTCAAAAAGAATTAGCAATAAAGAAACAAGCGTGTTTTCTAAAATTTTAAAAACAAACTATCGAATCAATAATTAAAGCCATAAATAAATCACTTCAGTCGATTATGAAACTTACATTCATAACACGTTCGATCGTCTCATGTACGTATATTAACAAGAAGCATGCACCAGGCCAGTATAGATTAACCGGAAGTGTAGCGCGTTGCATCTTTAATTAAAAGGATAAACTCGATCGGCGAAGATCGATAATGCGGCTATTTTTCGATTAGGTAACTAGAATGTAAACGACAGGATGCGAGCGTCATCGGATGGATAATTCCGAACAGGTTCACCCACGTGACCTGCCATGGGCGAGTTAAATACCATCTGGTAATAGGAAAGCAACAAACCGATCGTGTTTTCCCGTCGACGAGGATCACTGGAGGGGAGAGCGAGCTGCCTATGGATAATAATTTTCGGCGAGCCGAGAAAAAATGGACCTGTCTTTCAGGCCTACCAGGTTTGTAGAATTTCCTAGGAGGATGCATGCTTCTCGAGGCGTTTTAGGCACCGCAAAGATGGTCTCTTCAATTCTTACGTCCGTTTTATTTCGTATTTAACATTTATGCACTAAATGGAGGATCATTTAGCGTTGAATATAGAATAATTTCTACATATTAATGACTTGAGAAATTTTCTAAAAGAAAATCAATACAGTTTTGTTCGATACTTCGCTTACGTAAACGATGGACACCGTTAAATGACGTCAATTGTATTGTATTTCAAGTTCATTTCCACTGGATTGTCGAAGAAAATAAACGTTTGACAACGTGTCGCTTACATATACCCATTTCACTGAAAATAATAGATTCTATTTCCGGATACATTTGTGTAACTTAATTAATTTAATTAAAATAATCTCGAATCTGTTCATTTTTTTTCTGCAGCGAAACTGGCACTTGTCGGTCAGACATAGCGAGTCTACCAGCGTAGCATAAAAATACAGTTGGTTCGTGGTAGTCAGAACCATGAAGAAAGACCAACGGACGCCCACGTGCCAAAGTAGCACGTGCTTGATCGCACTCATTTATCGTCTCTTAAATGATTTCTGGTCAATGATAATGGGACAGGTGCCAGTAGAACGGCAGGTGCTTGTTTTTATTATTATAAATAATCGTGTCATTCTCGCTACATTCCGATCTGAAGAAGTCCAATAAACTGTATCACTTTATTAGGAGAGCAGCAGGGCGATGGGTGTTGTGTTTCGGGTTCCCTGCCCGACCCATCCTCGGATTTTAGGTAACCGGACCTGTTTCCTTCGATACCTGACCCTACCGAATTCTTTTCTTCTTACTTTTTATTTTATTTACACCTGCAGCACATCATTTTTATCCTCTTATAGCAATATAATAGGTTGGTATATATGTAGATACATTTAGTTAATTTAATTTCTAAGTCAAATCTCTATGAATGATACTTCTAATATTTATCAATGTATTCATTATTTAATAAATAGATAAATTAGTAGGTAATTGTTATAGATAAATTTTGGATTATACATATAAAGAACACTATCACTTCAATGACCTCGATATCTCGATTTTAGGTTGAAATCGTTCACCATTCTAATGCAATTAGCTCTTGCACGACATAATCTAAATTAATAAGTAAACTGACAGGAAAGTATGGAAGACGTAGAGGTGACGAAACTCGAAAGTGGGTTAAGACGTCGTCTTCGGTCGCTTAGACAAGTGGCTCATTCGTTTAAAGTGTAACAGGGGACAAGAATGTAAACATGTATCGAGTTGCCTAATCTTTTGGCACTACTTTCGATAAATTTACATAACGCCTATCTACTCTTATCAAAGATCGGCAATTATTTTCATGTTGAAATTTGATCGATAAGCCGATGAATAAGGGTGTACCAAGGTTGTTAAATACCCAAGCGGCGACGAAGTGCGTTTACGTGCCCGGTTCACGTCCCGCACGTATTCCCATCGCCTGGGAATCATCGATGTTTCCCATACCCAGCGTACGACGCCATGGTATTCCTTGTTCCCACCGTATAAGCGGTGTGAAAGCAGACGGTTCCCAAACCAAGTTCGTGAGACCAATGTTCGATCGGCACGTTTCTAATTCAATCATCCTGCCTCACTTTTATCATTTTTATTTGCTGATTAATAAAAACTTGAAAGATAAACTTGTTTACTAAAGTGATTTAAGGTGCCAGAAGTTTATGGATTTAATAGGAAGCATAGATAAATAGGTTTGGATTATCAATAAGACTGAAATAAAGTGTCATTCGTATAAAATTCACTACATTTCTGCTATGAACTTTGGACCAACCTGTACATACTCATAAGGATTCATGAATGAAGTGGTCGTAGCAAGTGCCGAGTAATGGTAGTAAATGAGTTGGGAAGCCGTTAATGCCACTGTATAGCCGCAGGTAGTAAGTAGGCTCGTCTGACAGGTTCAGAATGGCCTTGCGAAGTTCAAGGCCATTTCTAGTGCGAGCACGACTGGTTTAGGAGATCTACCACTTCAACATGTTCGCCGGATGATTCTAAACACGTCGCTTAGATCAACCCTAACCTCTCTTACCCTCTATACAACACCAATCCTGTCATTCAAAAGTTTAGATGACATAACAATTTCAAAGAGAATCATTTTTTTTCTTATTTAAGTAAATTAATGTTTCATTTAAAATATTGCCTTTTCAATACTTAATCTATATCTTCCTATTAATTTTCTTTGAAATTAAGAAAACATGAAACCATTAAAAGAGGAGCGAAATTTAATAAATTTTCCAGATTTCTTCCAACCTTCGACACTCTCTTTTACTCGAGACGTTCAAAGTAACCTTGCCAACAGGTTTCTATCAGAAAGCTATTAATTTCGTCTGGATGGCGGTTTAATAGTTTCTCAGGTGAGAAAATGGGATGCGGTTGAAATAGAGGCCCATAAAAGTGAAATTAGATTCAGCGCGGTTCCTTTTCTCTTGGTGCCGAGAGGATTTCAAAAACGTGAGAAGAGTACGGCTACACTTGAACAGTTTCGGCATTCGATACGCATAACTGCGACTTTCCCATGGCACGCAAAAACAAAAAATAATGAGATTTCGGCGGCTCGTCGAGCCGTTCTGCTAAGCGAACCGTGAGAAGATCTTCAACTTGGGGCTGAATTCAGTGATTTCTGGATCAGGTGACTATCAAAGGGCTGTTGGTCGATCAACAGATTTTTATTTTAACCCTTTGACTGCCGAGTACTACTCTAGGCTTAATCATTTTCTCTATACGAAACAAGACACCTATCTTTTTTGTTACAAGATTTTTCTTTGTCACGCCTAATGATGTTCACGTTCCTTTCAGAGATAATGTTACCAGCATGGTAGATGGCCGATCGAGCGAGAAAAGCGTGCAAGGGGTAAATCGGTATCAGGATCTACCAGCTCGGCTGGTCTGCTCTCCTAGTCGATCTGGGAATCCGTTTCCCCTGAAGTCGTTCGAATTCTCACGACCATGGGAATAAACGGAGAGTCGGAGAGTCGACCAGGAAGCTCTGGGAACGATGTCCCGTGGGAAGTTTTCGCCAAGGATCGTGGAAGAGACGTTAGAACAGTGGTGATTGAATGTTTTTCCATGTCCGAAAACCTACTACCACCGAACGAACCAGATCTCGCACAGTCGTCGCGTCGCTTCCAGAAACAAACTATCTCACGCTTTCTATAAGCCTGTGGGAATGATTCGTGTTCCCCGGGAACACGTGAGAAAGTATGCGAAACGCGTTGCTAGTGGATCCTCGACATCCTTGTCACGTGTCGAACGTGATCGTCCTCTCGAATATACGGCGGGTTCAAAGGGCGATCCTTCGGGTAGATGGATGAATGCTTTGAGATATTAACAATACCAAATAACTAGTAAATTTAACATGAATCCATCTTTCATTAATTCCAGCATTTATAAAACCTACAACCCATATGTTAAACGCACAATTCATTCCTCTTTAAATCGCGATAAGGGTTGAGCTTGACGAGCGTTCATTTTATGATCTTCGACACCGGGGGGAGGGGGTTAAACTATTAGTTCGAGGAGAGGAGGGTAAGTCGAAAGAAGATAAGGTGGTATCATTGAAGCCGAGGTCGCAGGCCGGTCAGCAGGATGAGCACTCGTTTCTTAGACCAATTAAATCGTTCCCACGGGATCGCACCGTGGGAGAGTTGGTTGAGAAACGCGAGAACCGAAAGCTTCGGACGGCCAGGACTCCATGCGACTTCAGGAAGTCGTTGTTATCGAAGGGCGACTGCTGATCGTTTATTTTTTTCTTCCTCGTGGCGAGTTTCCTTTCTGGACACGTGCAGAAAGAAGAGGAGGCGTTAGGAACGGGATCGTGCTCGCGTGAGAACCCGACGAGGGCTCGTGGGAAAACGGCGAAGGCGCGTGGCGCTTCTGATACCAGGATCGCATGAGATCCATGCAAGTTGACCTATATTCTCCCTGTCGGTCCACCCCCGCACAGA